ATGGTGATTAATACTGCAAAACAGTCATTCATTGCATATTATGACATGTAAATTATTTCTTAAATTGTGAATGTTTTTACATTTCCTAAAATTTAGAAACTTTTTTTCCCTCAGATTGTTTTTCTTGAAATATTATGGCTTTTTCCTGGAGGCATGCGGGTTTTAAATTTTTCCCAGGGAAATGATATGAAAACTTAAAAATGGTCAAAAGTAAAATTAATTTAAAATTAAAAGCCCGAATTTAAACCTTTAAAGCATTTAAAAAAATTAAGAGACATGACTGTCATCTTCAATTTTATAAACTTTATGTATTTTCTGAATTGTCTGGAGTATATTTAATCTAATCAACATTTGTAAGCATGAATGCTGAAAAAGGTCAGTCAAGTATAAAATGGAAAATAGAGTTTCTCAAAAATGGCTTTTTAAATACATGTAGGGGCTTTTTAGCCTAAGCCTGCTAGAAGCAACAAATTTCATCAATGACAACAGTACAGACCAGAATCAGCTAGCCTTAGTGGTCCTTAGTATAGCTTTCACTGTATACAAACACATTCTTGCATTTTATACACATTCAGACATTCAGAGTACCTATACTAATACTTATCACTAACATCCCTATTATATCCATCTTTCTATTTTTTTTCATTAAAGGGTATAAAGCTATATCTAATGAATTTTTTTAATAAATTCTAAAAATGGTAAAATTATGTTGTTTCTTTAATGTTATGATTGATTTTCAAAAGAGTTGTAACATAGCAGGTTGTTTTTTTTAACACTAAAGAAACTTTGTTTAAACAGAATATAAAGTTCCAAAATATAATATTATTTTGCTGTTTATAGTAGATTTATAACAGTTTACCAATGATTTTGTACATGCACCATCCACTCAAAAGGAAATATACCAACATATTTCTTTCATACAGACATTTTGGAATTATTCTTTTTTAAAATTTAAAGAATTATTTTTAAACTGCACACAGATAGACATAGTTTCAAACACATAAAAAAGCAACAAAAAGGCACAAAATACATGGCAAACTAAATTCAAAAAAAAAAAAAAAAAATACACAGCAAAGTAAAATTAAATTTGTATGCATCTTGCAAAAATGTTATTATAACAAAAATATCATTTATAAAATATACATTAACTATTCAAGACTTTTGCTTTCAAAGAAAAATAACTACTTCAAAATGTGGACCGTTCTGCTACCTTCCTTGTTTTTGGTTTTCAAGTTATAACATTATTATTACATCCCCTTAAACTGGTGAACTAATACAAGCCATATCATTTCAAGCAAAGGACAACACTTGGGTTAACTTCTATAACTTTAGTTTTAATAAATTAAAAGTTAAATAATAACTTGAAAATAACAAAATTTTTGAAAACCAGTCCATAGACTTTTGCTCTATGTAATGTGTTGTGTAAAGAAAGGGTTAAGACAAACAGTCACTACTTTTAAAGTTCAAAATTCTATAAATTCACAAATAAATAAACATAAATGTTTCTTCTATCTCAACTAATCAGAATGATAAGTATAACAATATCAAATTAGTTTACAATATAAAAGTGACACAGACTAGAAAAAAAAGGCGATGAACATTTGACGATCTAATAGATGACAAGACATAAACATATATACAAAACTGGTGAGCATTTCACCAATATTCCGTAAGATTAGCGTATCTTTTTACATAAATATGGACTTACACAAAGTGTAAATTAACGTTAGTTGTGTTACACTAAACAGAACGTGCAATTTACAGCAGCAATAAGTGAGCGTAACTTTACGTTTAAACCTACGCAAATGTGTAGCTAAAAAAGTTTAGTGAAATGCAAATAAATACCAAAGTTCTGCTTATGCAAAAAGTTACGTTCAAACTCGAGTTAGGATAACGTAAGTATGTTAGTGAAACACACCCCTGATCAATATTATATCATCTAAAGCCTAACCCTCATTTATTCAAATTGTGCAACTTTAAATACATTTATATTCCTAGCCTGCAAAGCACTCTCAACTTCCCCACATTATATTTTTGAAACACCAGTAGGGGAGATCCAACTCATTCCACTAAATCATGAGTCAACTGCAAAACTGTTGAAAGTCCTTCATTATTTCATATCAGTTACTACAGTTTTGCAGTTAACCCTGAAAATACTCAGTATTACTCAAAACAATTATGTATTTATTATGCAACATGGTAATAAGAATTGTTTCAAAGCATATCTCAATATTTAAAGAGTTTTTATTCATATTTTTGCAAAACTTTGAAGCCAATTACACTTAAAGCTAGAAAATAACCAAACAAAATAATTTAAAAATGTGGATAAGGAACATATAAATAAATACAGTGTAAGAAAATAAATAAATACCAAAATGTATATAAAATAAAATGTAAACAGTTTACAGTACTGAAAATGTAGTACCAAGTTTTTTATCAAGTTTTACATAAAACAAAAACGACTTAAATACTACATGTATATACATGTATATTTAATGAAATTCACACCTGTTGTACGTATATGTAAGAAAAGTAGAAAACAAAAAATTCAGTTCAATCATAATAAACATATTCTAGTATTAACACATCTAAACATTACTTGAGCTTAACTCAAACAGGCTTGAAAAAGATGCCTCTAGCTTTGTTTCTTATTTTTTAGCTTATACAGAATTTATCTGATTGTATGAGAACTATAAGCTAATAAACACATTTTCGGGAAAACCCAGTACAAAGCAAATAGGAGTGTAAAAATTTTTGCTTATGAAAACAATGGCTTGCCTAGGATGGGGTCTGACCCAATGAGACCTGTGAAATACATAGATTACTAGTCAAACCACTTGGCCGTGCTGCCAGTTTCTTAGTTGTTTTTTTAATTATTATATCAACAATGAATTTTTCATTTACAAAAAAAAACAATAAAAAAACAATAAAAAAAACACCAAACTGATAAAAATTCAAGTCATATTCCATGACATAATCTCCACATATTGTCACCTTAGTGCAATAACTAGTTAACTCCTATTTAATTTAGATGGACTTAACCAATTATTGTACTAAGGTGACAAATTATGGTAATATCATATTGCTTTTGATTCAAATATTGCTGTTCTGATATACCGGTAGTTCAATATCACTAATTTCTTAAACATAATAATTTGGAACCAGTCACAAGTTCCAGCCATTCATTGGTTCAACAGATTTGAAATTGACCAATAGCATAACTGTACAAACAACTTTTTTCTCAGCAGTATAAAAGCAGTAACTTAATCACAAGAAATATATTGCGGATTTTTTTTTTTTTTTTGGCATTATTTTCCTAATAATTTTACAAATAAAATGAAATGCTGTGATATCTGAGTATTAATTTTAGAAAAAATGGTGATGTACTCTAAATTCTACAGATAATTATCAAGACACGACAATCATTGTGTTAAAATAAACTGTAAATCAATCTGCATCATTTCTCATACATTATCCCATTAACTTCATATACACGCCTTTTAACAGCCTTTTTTCACCCCCCCCCCCCTTTTTTTTTGTCTCAAATGATGAAAAAATGCCTTATTTAGGCCCCAAAACACTTGTTTTTTGTTTGAGAAATGTTGTTAAAAAAAGTGACCTCTTTTTCGGCGCGGGTCCCCCAACCAAAGATACATCAGGGGGTTGCCAGAAGGGGATGTGCCCCTTCTGTTTGGGGGGTTTGAAGGGGGCGGAGTCCCCCTCATCGCCAAGAAAATTTTTGGACTTGTAAGAGGCTGTAAAATGATCCCAGATTGATCATAAGGTAACGTGTAACCAACGCTGAAAAGCATTTGACTCTATCTCAATCCATTGAGAATTTGCAGCACTTTGAAATCAATTTTGATGGAAAAAATCAACGCAAAATAGTGATTTTTGGCAATTTTGAGATGTCCCCTCGTTGCCATGGTAACAGAAAATTTAAGCCTGAGCATGTTGTTGCAAGGGCAATGGTCCAGTCAACATTTGTGCCAAGTTTGATTAGTGTTGAAGCAGTTTTTATAGTATTATAGCAATTTGAACTTGTAACGGGAGACTTTTCAATGAAAACAGCCATTTTTCACAAAATGCTCATGAAGTAATGGGTTATACATGTAGTTTTAGAAAATCAGCCTATTATTCCTATATTTTGGGACAACTACAAAGTTGACACCTATAGTTTAGGACAACTACAAAGTTGACATATAAATTGTTAATATTTAAGCATTTCTTTAACTTTTAAGACATTTTTAATAGTTAATACTCTGTTCTCAAACAAGTGTGTTTGTTGGATTTTTAATCACATCAACACTGTAAAGATCATAGTTACAGCAAGTTTTGAGCTTTACTGATGGAGGAAGACCTCAGGTGCTCCTTCATGCATTACTTTATGCTCAAGCTACCTGAGTAGAACCACTGGCCTTCAGTAAGCTAGCTGGATAGTTTTTTTTTCAAATATGGAGCCTTAGAATTTTTCTTATTATATATTTAAAAAATATTTTTGGCATGCAAGTGGTATTTTTTTCATTTTTAAGTGTTAAACTGAAGACAAAATATATTAAGTTATTCCATCAGAAACAATTGTTTCATTGAGAACAAAATTAATAGCTTTCCTTTTAACTGAAAAATAGTAGTAATTCAAAGACAATCAGAAACATTTTAAAATGGTAACTTAATAATAATTTTAATCAGATGTAACATAGTAAACAGAAACTTTGAACATGGATTTCATGATCATATGAAGCTCATAGCCAAAATAAAGCATGAAAACAAAATGACTCGAGACTTATATTATCAAAATAAAAAATCTACAATTTCTAATTGCATGATTTTATATAAACATTATAATTGAGTCGCGCCATGACAAAAAACAACATAATGGGTTTGCGACCTGCATGGATCCAGACCAGCCTGCGCATCCGCGCAGTCTGATCAGGATCCATGCTGTTCGCTTACCAGCCCTATTACAAGTAGAGAAACTGATAGCGAACAGCATGGATCCTGATCAGACTGGATCCATACTGGTCGCAAACCCACTATGTTGGTTTTGTCTTGATGCGGCTCATATTCTTCTACATGCTGTATTTTGTTATTGTGTTTTCTTCACTTCCGGTGAGGTTTCTTCGGTAGTTTTTTGCTCCTGACCGTTACTTTCACTCTGTTTTTGTAGCTTTTCCTCGAGAAGTTTCTTTTCTCGCCGATTCTCCTGGTACTGTATTAAAAGTCGGCACGTAAGTAGTAACATAAATACAATTGGTAGACTCATTCTTTGTAGACCGTCTTTAATTTGACTATGTGCTAAAACATCATTTGCGTTGACTAGTATCATTAATATATTGGCCGCAACTTTCAAAGGTCCTGAAATGGAAGTCAAGAAATTATATAATAATAGAAGGGGTGTTGTTTTCATTCTTAAGATAGGTGCAGACATGCCTAAGCACACCTGTTTCCAATCACTATAAAATTGCTGAGTTTTTTGGCGTTTTATACTTTCAATATTTTTAAATTTCACAATTGGTATAATAGTATTGCGACCTACTTTTCCTCAATTTACCATGTTATGCAAAAAGAAAATTTTCCCAAATGGACAGAACAAAATGGTGGGAAAAAACACAGAATAATGTTAACAATAGGTTCTGGAATAGAAGAAAATTGTTAATGTCCACAATAGTGCTTTAAAATTTGATATATTTCATGCAATGATATTGATACTAATATTGGATTATTTATGAATATTTTATAATAACGTTAGCACTTATTCTTAATATAAAAATTGGGATATGAATTGGTTTCAATAGACCAATTCATTAATAATTTAAGAGTTAAACAATTCAATAATACAATCAACAGACAATTGTGAGATAAAAATATTGACTTTATTAAGATATTATAGGCCTTAGGGGTTAAAGGTATTAATAATGTCATTAAAATTAATCAATTACATACAGAGTATTTAGTTTTAAATATGTGATTCCTACTATAAATTATTATTTAGAGAAATATGTAGTTCTTTAATAGTTGTCTTTAAATCTATAAAATTAATATTATTCAGTAAAATATGGTGTTCTTCAATAATGGTCTTTAAATCTATAAAATATGAAAAACATACTGACCTTACTGAAATAATTTTTAACAAGAGCACCGCTGGGCGGAGCATGATTATATGCCCGAAAGTGTTTTCTATTTTTTAGTAAGGATGAAGCATTTGTAATAGTGACCTTGACATTTGACCTTGTGACCCCAAAATCAATAGGGGTGTTCAACCCAATATGGACAATCATCCAATGAAGTTTGAACACTGTGGGCCAAATGGAAGTTAAGTTATGTTCTGGAAACTATTTTCAGTTTAAAGGTAATAGTGACCTTGACCTTTGACCTTGTGACCCAAAAATCAATAGGGATCTTCTACTCAATGTCCTATGAAGTTTGAATATTGTGGGCCAAATGGAACTTAAGTTATGCTCCAGAAACCAAATTGCTAACGGAGGGAGGGACGGACGTGCCACTTAAATGGACTAAGGGGCCATTTCTTTTGTTTTATAGAGGGCCATGGCCCCTTATTCTATTGTTAAAGAATGAACTCTATTGTTTTCTTTTGTTCTGTTTACAGTTAGATGGCCCCCGACTTCTCTTAAATAGCCCAGACAGACGGACAGACGCCAGGGGGTATAACATAATATGCCCGAAATTCTTTTAGGCATATAAAAAGATCAATACACAGGAAAATACCTCAAAAATAATACACTAAACAAGTATTTTACTGAAATCATAAATGAAATGGTATGCAAACAGAATGTAAATGAATCATCTTTAATCATACTGGATAAAAAGATAAAATGTCAATATTTGACATCAGATTCATGTATCAAAATTACATTTACATGCCTTTATTTTAGCCCTTAACCTACAGTATTTGTGCCATGGGTTTGCCCAACAGTCCCTCCTTTAAGGAATTTCAATATGGAAATACAAAAATTGAACTAACAACAGATAAGCAGACTGGCAAGTCAGTGCTTTTTGTTTTTTGGGCTTATTTAGGGCTGAATTTTGGAACGACCCCCACACCCCCAGTCTATATAAAATATTTATTTTCTCCTATTTCTGAATAAAAAATCACCTCCGAAATTAAAAAAAATTTAGAGCTATTTTTTCGCGATTGGGTCAGCATTGTTGTTTGAGTAGATCATAGTATTGTATATAATTAACATAAAATGAAATGTTTTATCCATTTCCACCTAAATAGGGGGCATTTTTATCGAAAAATGATAATTTTTTACATTTGTTGATCTTTTTCCTTCCTTCTCTTTGTAAAATATTCCCCCTGCCTCTGAAAAAATAGGGGGGGAATTCTCAAAAATATGAGTGAATCCCCCTCCTAGAATAGACACTGCCTCTCCATGGGCCATGAAACCATTCCAGTAAAAGTTTTAAAAAAGCACTGTTCCAGCAGGGTAAGGATTAGAAGTTATTTCACTTGTTAAATTTCAATGAGTAAACTTTCTGAGCATTTCTGAATAAATTATATAATAAATAATGTTAAACTGTTTGTACCTGGTATAAGAACTAGAATGGCTCCACATGTAATTTCTATAGAAGCAATTATTTTTCTGTAGATATGAGCATTTGGCTTCCATCCAGTCAATGACACCAATGGAAAAACTTTGGCCATCCTGATGTACTGTTTCCTCTGAAATATTTTATTTATTCATTTTTAATTATACAGTTATTCAAAATCATAATAATTCAAATTTACATTTTGTGTGATTTAACTGATTCTTGATAAAAAATAAACAAAACAAAATGAGGATTAAAAAAATCACTTCATATTACTCATAAAAAAGATAATGACTGGATCAAATTGGTTCTCAGATCCAGAAGGGAAGGGGTGTGTATAGTTATGTTACATCAAAAGATTGAACTACTATTTTAAATCATATTCTAGGCAGGTTAATACATTGAATTCCAGTCATCATATAATGATTTCCCATGTTAGATGTCCCATGTATTTTAACTAAATTTTAATACACATTTTATCTTCAAACATGTTCGCCATGCAAAGTACTGTCAAAAAGAAATAAAAAGTTTTCGTTGGCTAATTCTTTATGCGTAATGTAATATTGGCAACATGTATACAGACAAGAGCGATCAGTGATCACGTGTCGCCTCATGATGGCCAATTTCATGTTGGGACAAGTTTTGTGACAAACGGACAGACAGACAGACAGTGCACAACTAGACTTGGTACTGATCATTCCTGTAAAGTTTGGTTAAAATTGCACTGGATCAGTAGTTTATGAGGAGTAGTCCGGACAAGCTTTTGTGTATCTGGCAACACACAGAAAAAAACACCTTTTCATCAAAGGGCCATAACTCAGCCAAAAATCATTCAACCGGAAAACCCGTGCAATATGCGCAAGGACTTGAGCTACAGATCAATCCTTTAAAGTTTCATTGAAATTGCATTAATGGTATAAGAGAAGTAGTCCGGACAAACTTTAAAAATAAAAATTATTAAAGGGCCATAACTCTGACAAAAATCATTGAACCAGAAAATGCTGACAATATGCACAACTAGACTTGGTACTGATCATTCCCGTAAAGTTTGGATGAAATTGCACCAGTAGTTTATGAGGAGTAGTCCGGACAAGTTTTGTGACGGATATACAGACAGACGTTCTCACAGGACAGTAATTATGTGGCTACTCTATTGTTCTCTCTATTGTTCTTTTTAGCCACACAAAAGAAAATAGCCACATAAAAGCATTACGGAATGAATGACATCAAAGAGAAAGAACAGTAACCTATTGTCCCTCTAGCCACATAATTACTCTCCTGTGAGTGTGGACAGATAGACGGATAGACGGACAACGAAGAAGTGATCCCTATATGTCGCCACTACTCCGTAGAGGCGACACAAAATTGAAATAGAGTTTATATTGCATATTTTAAAGGCATAAATTGTCAACAAAAAGCATAATTCAGATGGAATTAAATGTTTTAACTTGCTAAGAATACAAATGTACTTTTTTTATGAATGGCAAGCAGCTAAATGTATGTTTACTCTTAATTGAGTTTGATTTTGCTGGCACATTACCATTGTAATTTTAAGGTAATTTCTTAAAGTTTGATATTTCTTCATTAATTGTAAAGGAAGATAAATGGCTCAATAGTTTTAATGAGTACTGAAATATATATCTTTGAGTATTCAGTATTGTAACATATAATATGAAAATATGTCTTATTTAAAAAATGCCAGAGCAAAACGTTGACAGTGTTGGAAAATAAGCTAAATGAGTTGTAGTAAATGTATGCTGGATAGTAAATTTGTTCTTGATGATTAAGGGGAGATTATTTTACAATAGTTTGAGTTACCATTATTGCCAAGATAAATGTGCCTAATGCAAGTGGTCTGTAACACTGACAGATATGCACTGTAGTATTTGATTATTGATAACCACAAATGTCAAAACTTCACTGTATTTTAACATAAATTAATACTAAATTAATCAACATGTCATTGTCAATAAATCTTTCTCTCCTAACAATTGTCAACTGGTAAAAATAGACCTCTTAGAAATTTTAACTTAAAAAAAGGGAAAACACCAATGAAATATTTGTGCCTGGAGTCTCTATAAAAATAAAACAAATGAAATTTCTCAGGCTGCTACTGTAAATGTTCAGAAGTAGAACAATTACTAATGTAAACAAATAACCCCACCCACCTCATAAACACTTGTGATTAGAAAAATAACGTGCATAATCAACAAACCATTTCTTTGTACAGCTCTTTATTTATTGCAGGTGAAAGCTTTGAAAACCCAACAAATAAAAAAGAAAACCCTAAGGTAAAATGCAGTTTTTTAAATGACGAACGATCCCATTTTCCAAATTTAAAAATTGGGTTTTTAAAAATTAAATGGGGTTTTGGAAAAACCCGGGAAAGAAAAGACTTTCTTTTTTAAAAAAGCCTTTCCGTCACGTTTTTTTGAAACGAGGTGAAAAGGAAACAATTTCCCTAATGAGGTTTCTAAAGTACAAAATTGATAAAACGTATTTTAATTAAAATCCCAAATTTTTAAATCCCCTCTATCCCCTTTAAAGTTTCATTTCATTTGGGCAAAACTGCTTTCATTTCACAAAATTAATGAAATGGGCCAAATCTGGATTTTCAGCTGGATTTTTGAGGCTCAAAAAAAAACTGGATTTTTTATCGACTCGAAATTTCAATGCGTGTTTGGCACATTTGGTTCAAAGAATCTATATCAACCCTCAAAATCATTAAAATGATTATAACTTTTTTATGATTTTTTTTGTTGATCAATATTAATTTATTTCACCAAAAAAAAAATTAAATAAATAAATAAGTGTAGTCATACAGGCTATTTCTAAAAAACAGTCACACTTTCACATTTCATTATTTTCAGTTTGAAGAATTATATGTCTTTTCAGTCATTCAATAATTAAACAAAAGCTATTTGAAAACGTGCAACAACTATTCATGAACATAAGACTATGACAGTTAAATAACGTAACATAAGTAGAAGACTCAAAATAAATGCAAGAATCGTTCCGTTAATAAAAATCCACATTTTTGCCTCGATGATTGTGTAATTCCTAAACAAAACAAAAAATTACCCACTCACTAAAAATAGGTTAATTAGACACTTCAAACAGGTTTTTAATGATCCACTTTAAATGATTCTGCTCACCTTTTATCTTTCAGTGCGGCCACTAATCAAAAGAAAATCAAAAGGTTGAGCCGAATTCATACATGTAAATTTACAGGGTAGTTTTGATGACGTGGCGTAGCGTGTAATACTACTGCCAAATTCAAAAAGAGGTCAATTAACTGACACACGACACGTGATAAGTTAAACATGTGAGAAATAACTTTGGGTATTGGAACTGTTTATTACTTCACCTTGCTGTCAATTAGCGACTCAACATTTAATCCGCTATAATTTAGGATATGGACAGATAACAATCAATGCCCGGAGGCACGGTTTACATTTTAGATACAGGTGCTGTGTTTGATTTTTTTTATGTTGATTTTTTTTTTTAATATCGGGAATTCAAGCTGTAATATCGGGAATCGGGATCAGTGTTGAAATATCGGGATTTTTTTAAATCCCGCCGGGATGTCACATGACATATTTGTCTTTGCCTAGCGAAAGGTCTTCAGTGAATCTGTTTTTATAAGGTGACACAACAGGTAATGTCGCAACAGATGAAATAAAAAGTTGTTTAAAAGTTGCATAATTATTAAGTTTCAGGAGCTACAACTAGTCTTTGTCCACTTTTTCTTCCATTGACAATTTTTCAGGCCTAATTTGAAAATTTCGAACAGTACATGTATATTCCACATAAACTTTCCACAATAGTTTTTTGTCTAAATTTATTGTTTTGATAAGGGTCAATTTGACAAGGGGGCGGGGGTTCTTTTACCAGATTATGTCCTGTTTAGGCAGCTTGGATATCTGTGTTAAGTACAGCCAGACATTGCTACTTCAATAGAAGCCAACTAATTCAAGGTCTGTAAACCTTCCAGTGGTAGTTATGTGGTCCAACAAATTAACACATGATAACATTTCTGATTGTCAAATAGAGAATGAAATGTTTAGTTTAAATAACCAAAAATGTTTTCATTCCGTTCCAACAAAAAAAATACTTTGGGAGAGGGACTAAAACAGTAATACTCATAGTATTACATACAATACAAATGCCCTTTAACAAGGCAACTGATGTACTTGATACAGTACCTGTCAAATAAAATTGACTTCCATTGTAGAAAGCACAAATTTTGTTCAACCAGACATGAAAAGCAAGTACCAGATAAAGTTTTCAAAAAAAACCCAAACAACAATGAGTGACAAGGCAGTCTGAAGGACAGCTAAATCCCCTTCTGCAGTGAACATGAATGTGTACTTGACCTTTTACCAGCCACGACCTTGATGTGATGCCATGCATATCATAAGCACATAGTCTCATGATGGTGATTATTTGTGCCATGTTATTTAAAATCTTCCATAAATTAAAAAAAAAATATGAAGAACATATAACCTTGACCTTGGGGGTAGCAGTCTGTTTGTTGAGCTCTGCAGATTGTATCATGGCGGTGATCATTTGTGCCAAGTAATTTTAAAACCTTTGAATTGTCAATAACTTATAGAGTGGACATGAAAAATAGATGTTTTTACATTGGACCTTTGAGTGTGACCCTGACCTTCAGGGTTGTGACTTGATTATTGTGCTCTGCTAATGGTGTCATTATGGTGATCATTTCTGCCAAGTTATCATAAACATTGCAGCAGTTTAAATGTTATAAACAGACACGAAATGTAGACTTTCTAACATTTGACCTGTAAGTGTGACCTTGACCTTGGGTGTAGCAATTCAATTATTGCGCTTTGCACATCGTCTCATAATGGTGATCACTTGTGCTAAGTTATTTAAAAAAACTTTTCAGCAATTTAAGTTATGGAGCGGACACGAAATGTATACCTTTTAACACTTGACCTTTCAATGTGACCTTGACCTTGAGGATAGCAACCCAATTATTGTGCTCTGCACATTGTCTCATAATGGTGATCACTTGTGCCAAGCTATTTAAAAATCAAAGGGCTGCAAGCTCTGTGATATTATCTGATCTTTGCAATCTAAATCCTACTGTATATCTGTATGTATTTTCCTGTATAAGTTTATTTTTATTTATAATTATCTGCGATCAGAAAATACAAAAAAAAAGAGGTTAAAAGTTATGGAGGGGACACAAAATGTAGACTTCTATACATTCGACCTTTAAGTGTGACCTTGACCTGGGGCAAGCAACCCAATTATTGTGCTCTGCACATGTTCTTATAATGGTGATCAATTGTAGCAAGTTATCTAAAAACTTCAGCGTATAAAAAGGTATGGAGCGGACACGAAATGTAGACTTTTTTATTATGAAATGAAGACTTTTTAACATTTGACCTTTAAGTGTGTCCTTGACCTGCGGGTAGCAACCCAATTATTGCGCTCTGCACATCGTCTCATTATGGTGATCATTTGTGCCAAGTTATTTCAAAACAAGAAATGTTGAACGACACATATGCCCCCCTTTCTAGCCCTTGACTCACATTATTGGTAATTTTGTTACAGAAACTTGCCATAAATGGGTACATTGAAGTATTCAATTATGGAAAAAAGAAAAATAATGAAGACTTTGCGATAAATAGTTTTCAAGATAATGAGACATTTAAGGCCCCTGTGACCTTGACCTTTGACCTAGTGACCACAAAATCAATAGGGGTCACTTACTAGTTATGACCAATCAATATTAGAAATATGAAGACTTTATGATGAATAATTTATATGATAATAAGCGGAAACTATTCTGACATTTAAGGCACCTGTCTTACAGTGACCCCAAAAGCAATACTGATCATCTGTTGCTTATGACCAATCAATATGTCAAATATGAAGACTTTGTGATGAATTGTAACCAGGATAATGAGCGGAAACCATTCTGACATTTAAGGCCCCTGTGACCTTGACCTTTGACCTAGTGACCCTAAAATCAATAGGGGTCATCTACTAGATATGACCAATCAAGATGTGAAATATGAAGATTTTGCAATTAATTGTAACCAAGATAATAAGCAGAAACCATTCCGACATTTGAGGCCCATGTGACCTTTGACCTAATGACCCCAAAATCAATAGGGGTCATCTACTACTTATGACCAATCACTATGTGAAATATGACGACTTTGTGATCAATTCTTTTCAAGATAATCAGCAGAAACAATTTTGACATTTAAGGCCCCTGTGACCCCAAAATCAATAAGGGTCATCAACTAGTTATGACCAATCAATATGTGAAATATGAAAACTTTGTGATTAATAGTTTTCAAGATAATCAGCGGAAACCATGTGGTCTACCGACGGACAGACAGACCGGCATTAGCAAAACAATATACTTCCACTTCTTTGAAGGGGGGCATAAAAATTGTAGCAGTTTAAATGTTATGGAGTGGACACGAAATGTAGACTTTTTATTATGAAATGAAGACATTTTAACATTTGACCTTTAAGTGTGACCTTGACCTTGGGGGTAGCAACCCAATTATTGTGCTCTGCACATTGTCTCATTATGGTGATCACTTGTGCAAAGTTATTTCAAAAACTTTTCAGCGGTTTAAAAGTTATGGAGCGGACAGGAAAGTGTTACGGACGGACAGACAGACGGAGGCCATTCCTAAAATCCCCTTTCCGCTATGGGAAAGGGGATTAATAACAGATGATATCATTTTTACACCCCATATGAAAAAAGGGGCACAATTCTAGAAACACTAATTAAATAAGTATATCCCTTGTCCTACAAGTGTCTTTTCCTCATTAGCAAGTATTCCAAGATTAAATGCAATATTTTTAATAGTTTTAAAAGTTTTTCAATTCAATAATCAATTTTTAAAAGGGACATAACTCATTAATATGTTATGTAAGGATATTGCCCCTTGACTAACAACTTTGCCTTGTCATAATAATCAAGTACATGTGCACCAAGATCAATATTGTTGTCTTTGATACTTTTGACATCATTCCACTTGATAAGCAATTATTGACATAAATTTTAAGCTACAAAGGGGGATAACCTTAAAACATAGCGCCTTATTTTACAACATTACCATGACAAAGCAAGTATACTAAGTTTCATGTTGATACCTTTAAAACTGTTTGAATAAGAGTTTTTTGCAAAAAGCCAAGAAGACCGAGCCATAATAAAAACTTTCTTCTTCAAACAGACAAGCTTTAAATTAGTTTAACAGACGGACAAACAAACAAATGTTTATAAAACAGATTTCTTTTTTATTTAATTTAACATGATTTAACAAGAAATGCAGTAGTAATCTTAACAAACAGGAAATCAAATGTTGAGTCTTGTAAATATTTTATTCTTTATTCTACAAGACTAACACATGTACAGTAAACAATTGTTATGAAAATACTGAAATGCATGAGTCAATACTAGTATACAAAAAAAATGGAAGTCTTGTGGAGAACTTATGCATACTTTAATTAGTAGACTCTATCCACTTTTCTTGCAACATTTTTACATCCTTTGAGAATCCTGAGAAAATTGTCAATTAAAAGATAAACAAAATCTCTAGCTTAAAAAAAAACTCAATAAAAATGACTTAAAGAACACATTAAAACATGGCATATACTACAATCATGTATTTTGTAATACAACTATAAAAAATGAATCATACATTAAAATGAATAGTAAATGTAATCAATTACTATCAGTTAACTGATTAAAATAAAATTTCAACAGATTTTAACATCTAATACAACAATAACTTATATACAATCAAATCCTTAACAGAAAATGTCAAAGTCCGCCTCAAAAATGATATGCTACCAAAGTGGCCATTACACTGATGAATACATTTAATTTACTAGCTTTACTTTTAAAATGTAACCTATGTAATTTTAATGATGATAGTTTCAACATTAACCAATTCAATGCTAAATAAATGTACCTTAAATGTACTTGTCCATCTTTCCCTTTTAACAAAATCTTTTTCATCATTTTAAGGCAAAAATGTGCCATCTGCTCATAGTCTGCATTGTCTCATTTTCATTTTGTATATATTTTGAAATTTTCCCTAATAATGACAAAATGGTTTTGTCCAAATTGAAAGATGAACAAGTCCATTTAAGATATTTAGATTGGTATTGGTCAAATTACAAATTATGCAATAAACACTTTAGTGCCTTGTTGCATTGCCAGTCTGCATGATGCTATAAATCAGCCTTACTTATCTCTTTAATTCAAACTGAAAACAAGATTGCATTTGAGAAAAATGCTATGCCACCGCATTAATAAAACACTAAATAGTAGTGTGGGAACAGATTTTTTTTGTTTCTATACAATTTTGAAAATTGTCATAAAGCATAGATCCCTGACCTATCTTATTCTTATTATCAGATTAGTGGTTAAATATATTGTTAACTCAATAATAGATCAGAGTAGGGAATATATCAATGCACTTGAGTCTAGTGAATTTGGTGGTGAAGGTCATATTTCACACAGCCTAAATTTCATGACTTCATCAAAAGGACAACACAGTAAGACACTTTGTCAAAATCTAGGTCAGCTGAAATCAAAGTTCACTTTACATCTTCATCTGTGCACATGGTTCAAATTTCATAGCTGTACATCAAAGGACAAGAAAGTAGGTCACATCAACAAAATCTAGGTCACCTGATATCAAAGTTCAATTTTACAACTAAAACTGTGCACATGGTCAAAATTTCATTGCTTTCAAAGGACAAGAAAGTAGGTCACTGTCCCCTTGGGCAAGGCAAAAGTTTGGACCCAAGGGTTTAATTCAAAACAATCTTGATACAGGTCCACCAAAAAACATTTCAAGTCAAATATCTAAGCTGTAGCTTTCTCATATTCAGAAAACATTTGTTTTATTTTCTGTTTTTACTATGTGTACATAATGAGAATCACTGCCCCCGGGCAGGGCCAATTTTGACACCAGGGGAAAAATTTGAACAACTTTAGTAGAGGACCTATAGATGATATTATATAGCAAACATCAAAGCTCTATGCCTTGTAACTTCAGAAAAAAAATATTTTTTATTTTTTTACTATATGTACATAATGAAAATCAATGACCCCCTGGGCGGAACCAATTTTGACCACAGGGCTATAATTTGAATAATCTTGGTAAAGGTTCACTTCGCAAAGTCTCATGCCATATATTTAACCTCTAGCCTTTGTCAATTCAGAGAAGAAGCTATTTTAATTCAGAGAAGAAGATTTTTCAAGTTTTTACTTTATATATATAAGGAAAAATATCGCCTCTGGGGCAAGGCAATTTTAACACTAGGGGCATAATTAAAACAACTTTAGTAGAGTTCCCATAGATGATATTAGATACCAAATATCAAAGCTGTAAGCCTTGTACCGTCAGACAAGAGGATTTTTTAATTTTTTACTATATGTACATAGTAAAAATCAATGACCCCTGGGGGTTGGGCCAATTTTGACCCCAGGGCTATAATTTGTACAATCTTGCTAGAGGTTCACTACATAATGTTTCATGCAAAATATCTTTACTCTAGTCTTTGTAAATTTAAAGAAGATGATTTTTTAAGTTTTTACTATATACATATAAGGAAAACCTATGGCCCCCGGGGCGGAGCTAATTTTGACACTAGAGGCAAAATTTGAACAACTTTGGTAGAGTTCCTATAGATGATACCATTTAACAAATATTAAAGCTCTAAGCCTTGTACCTTCAGACAATAAGATTTTTTACTATATATATATATATTGAAAATCAATGACCCCTGGGGCGGGGGCAATTTTGACCCCAGGGCTATAATTTGAACAATCTTGCTAGAAGTTCACTTCACAATGTTTCATGCAAAATATCTAACCTCTAGCATTTGTCAATTGCTTGAAGATTTTTTTTTAAAGTTTTTACTATAAGTTTTTACTATATACATATAAGGAAAACCAATGACCCCCCGGGCGGGGCCGATTTTGACCCCAGGGCTATAATTTGAACAATCTGGGTAGAGGTCTACCAGACAATGCCTTATGCAAAATATCTAAGCTCTAGGCCTTTTGGGTCTTTACAAGAAGGTATTTTAAGTTTTTACTATATGTACATATAGTAAAAAATCAATGACCCCCGGGGCGGGGCCGATTTTGACCCCAGGCTATAATTTGAACAATCTTGGTAAGGGTCTACCAGACAATGCCTTATGCAAAATATCTAAGCTCTAGGCCTTTTGGGTCTTTACAAGAAGGTATTTTAAGTTTTTACAATATGTACATATAGTGAAAATTAATGACCCCCGGGGCAGGCTGATTTTGACCCTAGGGCTATAATTTGAACAATCTTGGTAGAGGTCTACCAGACAATGCCTTATGCAAAATATCTAAGCTCTAGGCCTTTTGAGTCTTTACAAGAAGGTATTTTAGGTTTTTACTATATGTACATATAGTGAAAATCAATGACCTCTGGGGTCGGGCCAATTTTGACCCCAGGGCTATAATTTGAACAATCTTGGTAGAGGTCTACCAGACAATGCCTTATGCAAAATATCTAAGCTTTAGGCCTTTTCAGTCTTTACAAGCAGGTATTTTAAGTTTTTACTATATGTACATATAGTGAAAATCAATGACCCCCGGGGCGGGGCCGATTTTGACCCCAGGGCTATAATTTGAACAATCTTGGTAGAGGTCTACCAGACAATGCTTTATGCAAAATATCTAAGCTCTAGGCCTTTTGGGTCTTTACAAGAAGATTTTTTAAATTTATTCTTTTAATTCCTTTTGGTTGCCATGGCAACCAGATTTCTGCATGGAATGAAATTCTTTGAACAAGTTTGGAACCCCTTCACCCAAGGATCAATCCTGCCAAGTTTGGTTGAAATTGGACTTGTGGTTTTTCACAAGAAGATTTTTTAAGTTCACTATATAATCTATATAACACACACACACACATACAAACAAACAAACAAACACACACACACACATACACACAGGTGAATCGCTATATGCCACCGCATCGCAGATGCTGCGGTGGCATTAAAAGACGGAAGGAAGGACAGGGTGGCAACTATTATGCTCTCCTGTCAGGGAGGATAAAAAGCACATCCATGCAGCATGACCAGATATGGTACTGTCACCTGATTTTAAAATAACAATTTAAATTCAAAGTAAGGCAAGAAAATTACATTAGCAGAGTAAATGAAATCTGCTCGTAACAGTGATAACTATTTCAACATCCATTACTCTGCACTTTTATTGAGCCTATAATAAACTTCCCAAATAGCTACAAAGTAGGTCACATCTTCATATCGGTAGGCTGATAAGAAAGCAACCGGACGATTGCACTTCATACTTTCACCCAGCTCGTACAAAAAACCGTACTTAGTAACGTCATGACGCTGGAACATGTTCTTTCTAGAGGGTATTGGATGCCATACGGCACTTATTTTCGGCATGTCATTCGTCGTGTAGAATTGAAGATATTTAAGCTCCAGTTTCTCATTGAAATATTTTGCTAGTGTATCGATGAAATCTTCCATCGTAACATCTACCCAAATCTTTGATAAACATGATTTAGATGTTTCATGTACCTACAAAATACAATTGACATTGTTAATACAATTTATATGGGATATGTAAGTTCAATACTTAATTTATAGTAAAAGTTAAATAAAAATACAGCCAGAGACTTGCATAATATTAATTTTTCAACAAGTTCAATAAATTCAGTAATAAACCTACACGAATATCATATTCTGTTTATCACATACCCAAAACAGAAACTTTTTACAGTGAAAAAGAATCATTTTTCATTAATGTGCCTAAAGTGTTAGCATATCTTTACACCATATTTGTACAACCAATGTCATCACTTTGAAATTCATTTTTTTTTTTTTTTGCTAGTGGTGTTGTTTTTTTTTTTGCGGGACTGAAAGCCTTGTGATAGTAATTTCTGCTAGATTTTGTAAGTTAGAAAAGAATATGAGTTAACATATTATTCTATTTATAGATAATTAATAAGGAACTGCAATTAGAAAAATATCTCAAGTTAAAGCTACATGCCTCCAAATCCATGCTAATATTCATGAAAAATTTTAAAAAGTATATAAATGTAAAATATTGTTAAGTAAACAAAGAAAGTAATTTACAAATTGCTTTCAGGCTGCGCTTACAATCTATGTTTATTACCAAAAGAGGTCAAATTTGCAAAAAAATAGCCCCTACTGCATTAGTCATGCAGTAGAAATATGGTGATAAATACGGCAAAATCAGTCTTAAATCACACATAACATGTAAATTATTAATTGAATCTTGAATCTTTTTTTACTTTTTTTTTTATTTTAGTACATTTTTCTCAAGTTTGATTTTTTATAAACATTGCAAGTTCTAAATAGAGAATAATACACGTTTTTTAAAGGGATACTCGGGCAAATAAATGACAAAATTTATTAAAATGATCTTATGTACTCAAATCGCGCTAAAATGGCATTTCTTAAAGTCCAGGCATGAATTTCTGTATAAATTCTATATATTTTGGGTTTGAAGCATAAATTAATCTATATTTGTTGAACGAAATTTAAACGCTAACAGAATCACTGAATAGTTTTAAAACAAGTCTTTTGACTTGAACAAACCCTTAAAGTTAAAGTAACAGATGTTGTGGATATTGTATGATTAAAACAAGTCTAAGTTATTCATTTGACATGTTCTTTAACGTTTCCACAGTTCACTGTGACAACTATTGTGAACTCTTAGCGCTCTAACCTGACCCACGCAGGTCAAGTTAGGAAACCATCATTTTAATCTTTACATGGAGAAATATTTGGTTCCTTTGACTGTCAAGTGTATTCATTTTGAGGACATTTACAGAATATTGAAAAATTCAAAACTAAGAATTGAAAATTTTGCCTGCGTCTCCCTTAAACATATTAATTTTTTGTTCAAAAAAAAAAAAATCCAAAATACTTTAAGAAAGAAAAATATATGAGTTTAACCTTTTACCCCATGAGCATATTGCGAAAAATGGCCATTTTCACTGAAAAGCCTCCTGTAACAAGTTCAAACTGCTATGAAAGTATGAAAAATGCTTCAATACTAATGAAACTTGGCACAAATGTTGACTACACCATAGCCTCTGTAACAGCTTGCTCAATGGTAAATTTCCTGTTACCATGGCTACGGGGGACGTCTCAAAATTGCCAAAAATCACTATTCTGCATTGTTTTTTTCCATCAAAACTGATTTCAAAGTGCTGCAACTTCTCAATGAATTGAGATAGAGTAAAAGGCTTTTCAGTGTCGGTTTCTAGCTACCCTAAGATCGACCTGAGGCCATTTTTAGCCTGTCACATGTCCAAAATTTTCTTGGAGATGAGGGGGACTCCGCCCCCCTTCAAACCCCCCAAACAGAAGGGGGCACATCCCCCTTCTGGCAACCCCCTGATGTAATATTTGGATGGGGGACGGCGCCGAAAAAGTGGTCACATTTTTTTTAACAACATTTCTCAAACGAAAAACTGTGTTTGGGGCCTAAATAGGGCATTTTTTCGCTGTTTGAGGCCTCAAAAAAGGGGGGGGGGCAAAAAGCCGTCGAAACACGCTTATATAAGGGAAAAGGTTAAAATGTTGGAAATTATTTAAGAAAGGAATAAACCTGGTTATAAACTGCTGAAACTATCGTCAAGTCTTTTTCCATCAAAACAGACTGCGTCTGCAGCTGAAAACCTGAATTTTCATAAATTCTCATAAATTGCTGATGTTTAGTCAAGTTATCCACTACGTACACTTTCTGTTGAGATTGATTCCCTTCCTGAAATACAAACAGATGGTATAACACGTCCTCACAGAAATACGATTCCAGAAATATCACTTCCCAGTTCTCTTTCATCGTCTTCAAACAATTATTGAAGTCCACCATTTCAACGTCAATAAATATAGACCACTCTCTATCCGTTCTTGTATTTTTACGCCAAATTACATTAAACATCGGCTTTTTGTCAACTGTAAATGCATTAATCCATGAAATTCGATATCCCCTTTCCTTCATTTCCAAAACGTCTTGAAGTAAGCGTTTATGCGGTAAAAGAATCGTTACACACTCTAGCTCGTCTTGGGACTTGACAAAATAGTCCTCGTAACTACACTTGAAGTCTATGCCATTCCACAGTGGGAGTCCTTGCACAGACGATAGTGCGTATTTTATCAGCCCATCTAAATCCATATCCTTGGCCCATGAATTTAGAAGAAATGCCCACGTAAGACCATTCTGATTATGATGTACTGTGGTTGAAGTTCCTTCCATGGCCCCTGTGTGTCCGAAACTGGACCCTATATCTTCTATGTCTAAACCAAGTCCATACCATTCATCCCCATGGGTGAACCTGTTAAAACAGTTACACTTTGATAAATATAATACATTATAATCATACTAAAAGAAAACAGGTCAAGGAAAACAGGTCCCGGGTTGTATATCAAATATCCTGAGGCTATGATGTTACGAAAAAAATTTACCATTGACCATTAATGTCGAAAAATTAAACTAATTTACTTAGTTGGTAAACAGGAAGTGGACGACCAACAGACCTGATATCGAATCCCAATATATGGGACCACATGTTAATGCTGTATGACAAATAACAAGAGGCTGTGATAAGTAGTTGCTGTGAAAAGTATTACAAAAATTTCCTACCATTGGCTATTAAAAAATCTAACTAAGTGGTTAAACAGGAAGTGGATGAGCGACAGATTTGAAATCGAATCCCGAGGTATGGGACCACATGTTAATGCTGTATGCAAAATATCAATAGGCTGTGATAAGTAGTTACAAAAAAATTTTCCAGGGATTCTACGATGGATGCTAATAATAATAAAAATTCTACTATGTTATTTATAATGTAGGCTTTATATAATACTTTAATTTAAATATAGATATAAGTATAAGAATGCAATATACCCGGTACTAATGAACAATTCCCAATAATATAACATGTTTGAATAGTTTATTCAGAATTGCAATAGCAAATTCTTTCATGTGAGAATCCTGAGGAAATAAACTAGCTTATGAATGGTCAAGTTGTGTCTGAAATAATGCTTGGATTTGGCACTGGAAGTTTTCCTCCATCATTAAAGCTGAAAAGTTGCCATATGACCTTCAAGCTCTGATACTTCTTAAAACCCAACAAAACTATCAACTCATTCCATTTTATATGAAGCAAATGACATGACCTACAAACAAACTCAAAGCCAGTCTTATAATACATTATATTCATAGGTAAAACTACAAGAGTTTTTGTCACAAAATGTCTCCCAAACTATGTATGGTCACTCCTGTAAAGTTTGGTTGAAATCCCACCAGTAGTTTCACCTGTGAAGGCCAGACAAGATTTTTCTAATTCTAGCTCTGGCAGCCATTTTGTGCAGTGAAGCGGAATGTGTTGGTGATGTGCACAACTAGGGTTCGTACTGATCACTCCTGTAGTTTGGTTGAAATCCCACCAGTAGTTTGACCTGTGAAGAACAGACAAGTTTTTTCTATTTTTAGCTCTGGCGGTCATTTTGTGCAGTGAAGCGGAACGTGTTGGTAAAGTGCACAAATATTTTGGGAGACATAATTACTGTCAAGGGTTTAAAAAATGTGCTGCATCCCCTGGGCTTGAACCCAGGACCCTTGGAAAAATGTACCGCTACCCTGCCAACTGAGCTATCAGGCAACTTACACAGTCTCTCCACTAAAACATGTAATAAGAAAATAGTCATAGACTATGATATAAGCAAATAAAGAAGTTACTTACTTTGGCCGTGCTAACATTTTTAAAACTGTTTGTCTATTCAGGACAGATGGTGTATCACTAGGTAGTGTTATATCATTTGTTTTACTCAAATTGTCCAGTATAGTAACAAGGTCCTGAGCGCAAGCAACCCAACCGCCGTAAGAGCCAGTGTTCTCCATTGGGAAGGATCCATATTGAGGACACACAACTTCATCCTTGCCAAACACTGATGTCTCTACTCTAGGATCTTTATTGTTGTAATACTTTACCTGTAAATATTGAAAATATATCGTCATCATAGCGCAATAACTGGTTCACTCGCATTAAATTTAGAGGGAAGTAACCCGTTCTTGCTCTAAGGGGGCGATATATTCCTTCCTCACTTATACGAGGGCTGTTCAAAAAGTTCGTGGACTGCGGCTCTACTGTTCACATCTTTTAATTTGCGTATATGATTTTACAAGAGACATATATGAAAATATGTCCTTAATAAACAGTGAAAAAATCAATACAATATGTTTACAAATAAAAATTCTGTGACAGTTACAAATCACAAGGGGTGCACAATCCGGCGCACGCTGATGATGAAACAAAATGACGTTCGTGACGTCGCAATATAAATGAAACATTTTACCAGAGTCATTGTTTCTGAAAGTACTCTTTTTAGTGTTCAATATCTGCGGATTATATACCAAAACCATTTTTCTGTTTGCGATGATGACCCGAGATATAAAGTGGTCATCAATTCGCTCCATTCTCCGTATAAAGGTCCGAGTGCCGCATACTTTCCGCTCTTTATCGGGATTTTTGAGTAATTTAGACACTAAACGGACAGTGTTATTAAGTTAATTCAATTGTTGATTGATAGTATCAATTTGAAACCGCCCTCGTCCGATCTTTAAACAATATGATTATCGATGATAAAGAAAATATTTTATCAACTGACAATTATTCTATGCGGTAAATCTACTGAACACCGGCTAGCATTAATTATCAAACGGACCAGGGTAAATACAGGAAATACAAATAATAACTACAAGTATTTATTGTAAATACGCATATATCCTGATGAATGAAATAAAATATTATTTTAATTAAATTAAATTGTTTTGTCAGAATTGAATGCATAGACCCGATGCAGAAATTAAACATGTCGGACATTCGCAAAACTGTCATAACTTCTGTAGATCTTTTGCAATTGACGTTACAAACGTCCCAACAATTTGCCGCTAAAATTATTCGTCGCCCTTTCCGTCTGTGAGCATGTATTTGCCGTATTTGAATCGTTTGCGCGACCTGAAACCAACAGACTTGCTCGACAACTCATTGTTTTTCGTTAATTTAATCACCTTATAAAAATATAAAGGAGTATACCACATTTATTGGTAAAAATTTCCGAAAGAGCGAATTTCTAGTTTTTAAACGGGGTTTATACTTCTCAACTTACCCGTCTGTCTACTGCTGCTCAAAACTTGTTTGTTCAGCTATTCAACGTCCAAACGACGCCAAAAGTCAGATTTATGTCATTTAAATATTAATAGATGATTACTTGTATTTAACTTCATAAAACAATCATTTAATTTGTTTCAACATTTGTTCATATTTAAACATTATATGAAAATTTCGGCGTGCACCGATGTTGCGTTGCCATGGTTATTAAAGTGCACATAACTCGTAAAGGAAATAAAAGTTAACAATAAAAGTAAATCTTACTTTTGAAAATAAAGACACTCTTTCGAAAATCATATCCACTAAGGGTGTTTTTATGAACCAAGTAAAAAATGACAGCAAAAATCCACGAACTTTTTGAACATACCTCGTAAGTAGTACAGGTAACGGGTTACAGCAAGTATAAAATTTAAACCTTCCTTATATTAAAGCAACATTATGCTCATTTTTTCATTGTCAAGTTGAGCCTAATTGACTATGTATTTCAAAAGATTTACCTTTATAATGGTGATTGACCAACAGTTAGTATTGGAAAAAATGTTTAGATTAAAATACATGTATAAATCTCCCTAAAATTTAAAAAGACTGCCCCACTCTTTTTTGAAATTAAAGGTTACAGGTAAATAACGAAGACTCAAACCATTATCCCTTGGCAAAAGAGACATTGGAACAAGATGGCTGACTGTACAATTGGATATACCGTAGTCACTAAGATGGTTCAAACATATTTATTGCAGCTTTATTGTAAAACAATTTTTTGCCACTCTAAATAATCACTTTCAAGTCTGCTTCTTGGAGTGGAACTAACAAGTACTAGGTCAAAGGTCGTAAAGAAGCTCAAAAACAGATCTCAGGTATTTGATTGGTCTGCCACCAGCTCATAATGTTTATTAACTTATTAAAGTCCTGAACGTCGAAGCCGAGCTTAGACAAAAAGGTTTTAACCTTTAGGCCTGGTTTCATTTAAGAAAACATGGTAGTGACCAAGTTAGCCTGTAGCCCCAATCCTCTCGTCAAGAAGCCAACACTTCAATCTCTATGTCAGTGCTTGTTACTTACTTCCATATGATGAACTTTATCCTGTGTTGTGCTCCCAATATGGATATCTTCAACACCAATATCTCGTAGGACAGATCTTACGTAATCTTCATATCGTATACCAGTAATCTCTTCAATAACCATTCCCAAAACAAGGTATCCAAAATTAGAGTATTCATGACGGGTCCCTGAAATACACCAATACTTATATGTGTGCACAATAAAGATTACAAACCCTAATGAGCTTCAATGCCACCATTTTGGTGTTTTATAAAATAATGATGTCACAATGGCAAAGAAAACCTCTTGTGTGACAATAATGTACAATTGTACTTATAAAACTTGTCCGAAGACAGCATGATCAACTTTCCTCAGTGCTGGATTGTAAAACCAAAGCAACTTTAAAAAGGGGGCAGAATTCTACAGAATTGCTTTGCCCTTGATAGTCTGTTAACAATTATTTTAAGTCTGAAGTGAATACTAGGGATGTCACTGTTAGGCAAAATGCTAACCATTTAAACGGCCACATAATAACTGTGCCGACCATACTAATAAAATCCTTAAATTTTCAACATTAGCTTTGTTTCTTTATGATAAGGATAATTTATTATGCCATTTTTCATATTTTGTTGTACTTAAAATGATTACAATATAAATCCGAATATGGAGTAACTAGTTTCCGCAGGGGTCGTACCATACTCAATCAGATCGGAAAAAATACATTGTTAAGTAAAACATAAGAACAAACAATTGTCATATCTTGTTAAAAAAACAAACAAAAAACCTAAGGTAATATTTAGAAGCAATTTAAAACTATTTGGCCTCTTTGTCAAATACTAACCTTGGTTACCCGTTAAAACGGATAAACATGACACCCCTAGTGAAAACCTTTTTTGAGAAAAAGGCAAATAAATTAACCAATGTTAATGACGACACCAGCAACAATGGAGAGGATCAGGAACATAACACTTTTTTTTTTTAAAAAAAAAAGGAGTTAAAAACTTTTACTGGTACAATAACCTTTGTAAGAAAGCAGGGTTATTATAAAAGTAAATATTTACAGACTCATTAGAGTTTGCAATCCTTAAAAAGAGATGTCAAAGGGGTATGATTTATATGTACTAACAGTAGACCTTGAATTTAATCAGCACGCCTCCAGATTCAAGTTTATTTTCATGAAAATTTTGAAAAATGTATTAAAAAGTAAAATATGTTAAAGTGAACAAAGAAAATATTTTTTACATTGAAAACAGCATAAACTACCAATGTCAATTATCAAAAAGAGGCAAAAAAAAAACTTGCAAAAATAGCCCTTACTGCGTTAGTAAAGCAGTAGAAATACAGGGGGAAAATACTGCAAAATCAGTCATAAATCTCTCATTACATAGAAATTATTACTTTTATCTTGAATCTAAAATGTAATTCTTATGAAATAGAATTAACATCATAACGCACAATTTAACCTGTATTTTTACCTGGTGTGAATGACAAACCAAATGTGAGTACATATGAGATGAGAGCTTCATTGTCCCATGCGTCTATTTCAGACTTGTGTGGTTCTTTCTGGAACCAAAACACATGATCGCCTTCTTTTTCCCTATCCCACCCAGCAGAATGTTGCAGAAGATCTCTTATTGTAATATTTCTTAACCGTTGCATTGTAGATGAATGAATCTCTGTTCTTGGCTTGATTCTATGTAAAATGCCTGGAATTTATTAAATGCTGCATGTTCATTGGTGCGTTAATTTGTAACATGGATTTTCATTGGACAATTATTTGCAAAATCAATTTTCATCAGATAATCATTGGTAATATCAATTTTCATTGGAAATTTCTTTGTAAAATCAACAGGAGGGCATCTAAATGTCATCTTATCGTTAGAAAAAGCTTACGTTATTTCCTTCTCAAGTTTGTGATCAGACACTTAGGTAAATACATACCAGCCCTATCCCAGTATGCTCCCAATTTTCATGTGGGTGCGTAACAACAAATATTCAGGGCTCAATATAAATGATAGAGAATATATGACACATATGAGCCGTGTCATGACAAAACCAATATAATGGATTTGCGACCAGCATGGATCCAGACCAGCCTGCACATCCCCGCAGTCTGATCAGGATCCATGCTGTTCACTATCGGTTTCTATACTGGTTATAGAGTTTGTAAGCGAACAGCATGGATCCTGATCAGACTGCGTGGATGTGCAGGCTGGTCTGGATCCATGCTGGTCGCAAACCCATTATGTTGGTTTTGTCATGACACAGCTCAATTATTAACTGCTTTATATTGAGAGTAATAAGCTTACTGCTTTAGTTATTTTTGACAATGCTGTGAATTATCATCTTAGAACAAGATCAAAGAAACTTAAGCTTTCAAAAACTAGTTGGTGACCAAGCTTCTTAACAATAAAATTCTATTAGCTCAAAATTCACATGTTATTATTTTAGCTATTATAAGTGACAATTTGAGATATAGAAAAAAGAATTCTGTCAATTTCAAGCCATATAAATGACCAATAATTACACAATAAAATGATGAGGGGGATGAAGTTTGATGAGTTTATTTACAGATTCTGATGAATGACTTTTATTACCATACCTGTCTCACCAAACACTTTCTTGCCAAGATTTATCAGGCCTTCTTCACACAGCCGAAGCACTGCAATTGCTGTAAAAACTTTACTTATACTGGCAATACGGAAGTGAGATGATGATGATATTGGCTCCCCGCACTCATTTATACCATACCCTGATATAGATAAAATTACTAAGAAATTCATAAAATTTGCAGTCAAAAGCTATACATAGCTTATGTTTTGTGAAATGGTCATATTTCCAATTGAAAATAGTATATTATTTTCCAAATCCACGGTAAAAAATTCCCAATTGAAAGTTACAAAATAAAAATATTGAATAACAATTCTAAAATCTTTGCAAATAAGGGCTTCTTCACTGTATTAGTGCTTAAATCTTTGAAGATACCATAATAGACAGTAATTGTTTGCATCCATTTAATCACTGCAAAATTTCAGTCATGCATTTTTCAATTTTTAACAAAACACCGCTGAAATTTCCAATTCCATGGGTATGAGTCGTGTTCCCAAAATCCTGGAAAAAATCCCTGAAAGCATTTCTTCTTTCATTGTATGTTACTGGCTTGTTTTGTTTTTAATTTGTATCTTGTTCATTGTCAATCCAAGGTATAATGTATGCACAAATCTACCCAGATTACAATTTAATCCTAAATAGCAACAACTGTATATACCCCCGCAACCAGTGCAGACCAACTCTGCAACTCTAACCCTTAGTTCCTCACCCTAGATACAAATGTAATTATCTGCACAGTTCACTAAATCACTCTTTAGTCAATACATATTTTAAACGTTTTCCTATACATTTTATTTATTTATTTAATTATTTTAAATTGGAAAATGAAAACAAAGGCATGAATGCTTGCAACCTTCTTGATAGTTTTGGCCATTACTAAATTAGCAAAAGCTATCATACATATTAATTTATCTGTATATTAACATTTACTTACATGTACATCTAATAAAATTTAATGGGCAAACACATCAAAATAAGTTTTAAAATATGATATACATGTATTTCAATGATACAATAAATGCTAAATTTGTAAATCTCTGAACCAGAATAGATTTGTGCTTTTAGAAAGCAGAAAGTAAATAAAATAATAAACAACCTTGTTTGTAGATAGGTTTTCCATGGTAACTGATATACAGTGAGGCTCCAGGTACACCTTGCTCTTTCAGAAAATCACACAAAATGTCATCAAACTTTTTCATATAATCTGGTGAAGGCTCATAAGGCTGTATTCTACCTGTAAAAAATTATGAAATGACTTTCAGTGATTTTCCTACTTATATCACAGACTCTGAAAAAGGGCCTCATCCCAATTGAAATTTTCTTTAAAATCTTTTTTTTCTTTCAAAAATCTGTACTTAAACCAGCTTTTTTACTTCCCAAATCAGCAATTTTAGTGATAATTTTTCCCAAAAATCAATCAAGAGGCTAAGGCCTCTACCCAATTTAGTGAGAAAAATCACTGACTTTAGAGCATTAATTAATAATATAACATAAAAGGTTACAAACCCGAATAATCATTGTTATGGCGAGAGGAATAATACAAAAGTAACTTGGTTGAAAAAATTTCCACTAAAGCTAGGGATGCAGGTGTAGAATCCATGCAGTGCTTCTTGTAAGTTTTAGGAGAATCTAACTAGACCCTTACAGGCCTATTATGCCTCAGAAATGCTATCATTTTTATATCTCAAAAACTGTTTATTTTTGTTATCTTGTCACAAAAATATACTTTTTGTTTCCAGAAATATACTTATTTGTTATATACATGAACTATCTTTTGCATCTTTAGCTCTGTTTGGCAATTTGTATAATTAAAGTGAATTAGTATTTTGTAAGGAAGTCAAAATATAATTTTATTAATATTTACTTTTTGCAACCATTATGACATAAACTAGAACTCCGCGAGTCGGATGTGTCGCCTTGTGAACAATATAGTTTAGGAGAAATGGCCAGAACAAAAGGGCAATAACTCAAAAAATAAGAAGTGCAGAGCAGCAGTTTCTGTGCACTGCACTTCTTATCAATAAGATCTATCATCCTATGAAGTTTCAAGTCCATAGCTTTTATACTTTAGGATAAATGGCCTGGACAAAAATAAAGTATGAAAATTAACAAAGGCCAATAACTCAAAAAATAAGAAAAGCAGAGTACCAGTTCTTGTACACTGCACTTCTTCTTAATGAGATCTATCATCCTATGAAGTTTCAAGTCTATAACTTTTATACTTTAGGAGAAATGGCCCGGACAAAAATAAAGTATGAAAATTAACAAAGGGCAATAACTAAAAAAATAAGAAATGCAGAGTACTGGTTCTTGTGCACTGCACTTCGGGTCGATATAAGAAGCATGCAAACCAAGTATGAAGTCAATCCAACTTATAATGACTGACCTATGCTCCGGACAAGCTTAAAGGGGCGCCAACAATGACGCCAACAAAAGTAACCCCTAAATGTCGCCTTTTGCCAAGGCGACACAAAAAGCATGTTCAATGCTACCTTTTTTCAGTTGTAAAGCATCTAATGTCATGCTCTTAATCCATTATTTATACATTATTAAAAACATGTTTGACATTTTTAAAGAATTAAAATTATATGGATTTCTGAGGCACAATAAATTTGGGAAATTTAGTACACAGAAACAGTCCAAATTATGAAAGATTTATTCTTCTGTGTGTACCTAATAAAATAGTGACATTTTTTTTTTCAAAACTGTTTTGTTAACAATAAGTATGAACAGTATGAAATTAGAAATTTAAATCTAACACTTCCTATATTTCTCATGAATGTTTTGCCACAATTAGTTGGAAGAATATGATATGATAAACAAGATCAACAAAGAAAGGCGGCATTCAATGATCTCAACCCCCACATGACTCAGCAACAAGAACCAGTGGCAAAGAGCGCAAGAGGAATTCAAACAAAAACAGGACAGGGCGCAAGGCAGAGCACAGACAGGCTAATCACTAAAATGAAAAAAGAAATAATAGTAACCGTCAAGGCAAGTCTTGTTTCAAATTATACCTGACAAGATGCTGTATGAATGATCCCCATTGCTGTCTGTGGGAAATGTAAGCACATAACTCATACTGTAATATATAGATTCATCTGTTGACCCAATTATTGTTAGATGTCACATTATGATAAGTTGGTTTGTCACATATTCAGCTCATACCAAGAAATTTTCAGTCAGAAATATCTGTAATGTAAACACATTATGTCACAGGGTGAGAAAAATGTGCATCCTGTCTGAAACTTGAACTTGGGACCCTCAGAATACTGTTCTGCAGCTCGGACGACAGAGCTATCTAGCCACTTACACAGCTTCTCTCCTAAATAGTGAACAGTTCTGAACCATGACATACTCCCCTGCTTTATGAAAAATGAAAATTACTCAGGGTTACAAAGCAATGCTAATTAAACTCCGAGCTATATGCAGTCAAGGTCCCCCGTTGGGTGCCAAATATCACAGGGTGAGAAAAATGTGCAGCCTGACCACGACTTGAATGTGGGACACATGGAAAACAGTTCTGCTGCTCTACCAACTGAGCTATCCAGCTGCTTACACATCTCCCCTATTTAATAGTGAACAGTCAGTAATGAACTGTGACAATAAATTGAATAATATTAAACAAATGCTATCAGTAGGACAAGTACTGACAGAGAGAGAATTAAAAAAGAAAACTGCATTTAAAAAGTATAGTCTTGGATCTTGACCATAGAATTTCCTATGTTCACATTACCACTGAAGTGGGACGAATCCGGTATGTGCGAATATTTGGTAGCAAGACACCTTACCCCCCAGACACTTCACCCCTCAAATTTTGAAGACACTTCACCCCTTAAGACACTTCACCCCCCCAAAATCAGTAAGACACTTCACCCCTCATCCAATTTTTTTCTATAAAGTAAATAAAACAAGTTGGTCAACAACAAAATGCTTATATCTGAGGGGTGAAGTGTCTGCAAAAAAGGGCCAAGGGTGAAGTGTCTGGAGGGTGAAGTGTCTGTAAGCCGAATATTTAGTGGGGCGAAATTTTGTCTTTTAATCCTACCAGCATCTAATTTAAGTTTAAGCCGAAATATGAATGTTTGATACATTGTGACTGGTAAGTGAGCTTTCATTTATTAGTCTGTTACCAACACATAAGGCAACTAAAGCTTTTTATTTTCAATCTTGTTAAAATCATTTTTGAATTCACATTTTCTACTTTCATTTTGAATTCATTTTTTTTATAAGTTTTGTCAAGAAACGATTCACATTTCTGACAAAGAAGTGCACAAAATTATAGAGATTAAAAAACAAATATTACGTCTGACAAGGTACATAAGCTGTATTTAGATAACTTTTATCCATCAAGTTGCTTTTCTAAATCTAAACAAAAATAATATCTGCGCATGCGTGTTTGCTTTCAATTTTGGAAGTACGCTACTAAATGTTTAATAATTCCTCAGTGAAATGTTGCAAAAAGTAAAGGGGGACTACTGCGTAGGAGTTTGTTAACATACTATCAATAAGTACTGTATCTTTATTACACATTACTGTATATTAATTAATGGACTATAATATACACGTTCTAATAGTAGCTAGTAAGTTTTGTACTATTACACTATGTACTAATATGAAGCGGCCTGCCATTTTATTTGAGTTCACAATTTAAAAGACCCCGAGTTCACACAACTCAAATAGATCTACATGTACATAAAAAATGGAATTTAATTAGTATTCTGTTATATAAGTCTCTGCATAAAATAAACTCTATTTCACAGTATATATATGAATTCAGAGTATTAATAGACATAAAAAAAATTTTAATATATTTATTTTTATTTTATTATAATTTTTTTTATAATATTGATGTGAGATACAAGTACATCCTGCAATAACGGAAAGCATAGCAACATGTATCAACCTTTTTTAATGTAGCTTAAGTGGTAAATTTAGTGGCAGTTCTATAAGCAGCATTTAATGTCTTGGAAAAGTTTTCTCAAACCAATTATGGTTAGTAAAAATATAAGTGAACATGATAAAAGAACTTGATTGGGGCCTCATGACCAAGCACATAGTACATGTAGCCCAACAAACAGTGCAATTTAGTGCTTTTTATCATATAGACGACAGTCCCCTCTAAAGAGCAACATCTATGTCATATCAGATTGTAAAATTGGTCGGTCTTGCGGTCAAAATATTGAGACCATTAATACACGTAGGTTAATTAATATAACTGACTTTGAATTGCACCTAAAGATAACTATTTTAGTTTCTATTTCTGCTACATATTCGATTTTTGATTCTTTCAGATCTACTTCACTACACCTTTAAGTTATGAATACTCACAGATTGGAGGTTTACATTTTGTATATTTTCGTAACAAAGCACTATTTTCCATAGCCTATTGTAATGTTCATTAAGTCCTGTTTCTTTGCAAATAGGACAGCACGTTGGCTTGGAGAGCCCCCTTTCAGGCACTTACAACACACGGCCGCCAGAGGCCTCAGTGGCATAGGCATTGTGATGTTTGGCGTTTTAAACATTCTGTTCATAAACTCTTCAAATTTGCGCAAAAAGCAGCATTTTCTACAGCCTACTGTGATGAACATATTTGTCTTCATTTGCATAATGTAGATATACCAACAAATATATTTATAACCTACCTATAGTAATCTGTAACTTCTAAGTTTGTCATCACTAAAGCAATCTGTCATCACTGGTGCCAGTTACACGGTGTGAATAAGGTCCATTTTATCGCTATAGATTGACCTGATATATCATGTAATTTTGGAATTGTTTTCCCATTTCATAAACTATTTTGAAAGGGTTTAATCAAAAGCTTTGGAAAAAATCTGTGAAACTGGTTGCTTTCTTTGCTCAAAGTATTTCAAGTTTGAAATACATGAAGAGGTTAGGTTATACACATAAACAATCATCACTTGAGGACACACATGCAAATATCAACCCTGTTTGTTTTTCTTGAGAATGTACTTGTTCGGTCAAAGAGCATAATTTTTGTTGCTTTTTTTCATTCAAATAGCTCCCTATTCTTTAAACAGTTTATTTAAAAAGAAGAACAACACCAATTACCCAAGAAGAAACTTTAATAGACATGTTAACAATGCACGATACAAAGTGTAATAGTTTCACAACCATGATATACTGTTTCTCTGGAATTCCCTAGTAAATAAAGCAGACAATAAAAGCATCACGGAATTTGCTACTAAAATATACACAACAGAGTCAACAATAAAACAATATTTCCTGGAGTAACAAAAAACACAACAACACCAGAGCAAATCTAACAAAGCAAAATATTCTGTAAATTGGGTATAGTATAAATGTAGCTTTACCCAAAGACTTAACCTGCTGTATTCTGAATTTCTTAAATGGCCTTGTGCAAGCAGCGTTTACATGTACACTTGTATTTTCAATTTTACCTTCTAATCATGAAAATTTGAAGTTGGTCAGCCAACAGTATAGAACTGGGTCAGACTGCACAAATGTGTAAGCTGGACTGGCTCTATACAGGTGGCAATGGCTAATTACTTTTGGTTACAGCAGGGTAAGGGCTAACTTACTGTTTGATTTATAAACATTGTAGCTGTCTTTTTCTCAGTTTCTAAAATGAAAATAACAAAAACTACAAACAAGTTTATGAGTGAATTTTTCCTTTTTTCTTAATTTCCTTTGGCTAGGAATGATGTAGTGATAACCATCCAGATTTATATGAAAATAATTATGTACCAAGAAATATGTATCAAGAAAATATGTACCAAATATGTGTACCAAAATGCTAAAACTGTACACTCATTCCCAGCAGCTTTACTTTTATCATTTTGAACTACAATTAACAAAGAATACAGTGTAAATTGGTAAAAAAATCAGTATTTTTGATTTGACTAAACACGGTACAAAGTAACTAAATCAAGCAGCAAAATCAAAGCATTTATTTTATGAACAAATAAAGCATGGGACACTAGGCAATGGTTTGTAACATGACATTATAAATCATACAGATCAGTATTAGGGAATCATATTAAATTATCTTCAGAAATCTTGTGCAGGCTAAATCTCCAGGAAAATTTGGAAATATCCTTGACAGTAAAAACTAGGAAAAAGTTTTAGGCAAAACAAAATATTTGCAATTATTATTTAAATGGAATAAAATCATGGAAAACTTATCTTATCATACCTATTTTCTAAGAAACATTTTGTACACTATTTTAATATTTGGCACAAACATTTTTTTAAAAATAAAAACTTCTATTCAGAGAAAGAATGGCCTTCTGCTTGGAGAGACGATTCTGTAGAGAGAAAACAGTGCCAATTTCTATGCCAAAGTAACTTTTCTATGATGAAAAACTAGGAGGTTTGGTGTACCACTTTGAAATACTAGAAGCCAAAACAAGAGGGCCATGATGGCCCTGAGGTCGCTCACCTGTATACAGCCCCCCCACCCCCGGGCCAATTTTTACCCAAGGGCTTTTATTTGTTTATTTGAACAGACTTGGTAGACACCCATAAGAAGATGTTTCATGCTAAACATCTAAGTTCTAGCTCATTCGGTTTTTTAAAAGAAGATTTTTAAAGTTTTACTATACACATATAGTTAAAAACAATGGCACCCCTGGGGCAGGGCCAGTTTTGACCCCCGGGCTTTTATTTGAACAAACTTTGTAGATATTTACTTAAAGATGTTTCATGCTTAATATCTAAACTTTAGCTATTTGGGTTTTTTTCAAAGAAGATTTTTAAGTTTTTGCTTTACACATATAAGGAAAATCAATGACCCCCCCCCCCAAGGAGGGCAGGGCCAGTTTTGACCCCAGGGCTTTTATTTGAACATACTTGGTAGACACCCATTAGAACATGTTTCATGCTAAATATCTTAGCTCTAGCTTATTGAGTTCTTTAAAAGAAGATTTTTTAAGTTTTTACTATATGCATATAGGGAAAATCTATGACCCCCTGGGGCGGGGCCAATTTTGACCCCAGGGCTTTTATTTGAACAAACTTGGTAGACACTAATTAGAAGATGTTTCATGCTAAATATCTAAGCTCTAGCTCTTTGGGTTCTTTAAAAGAAGATTTTTTAAGTTTTTACTATATGCATATAGGGAAAATCTATGACCCCCTGGGGCGGGGTCAATTTTGACCCCAGGGCTTTTATTTGAACAAACTTGGTAGACATTCACTAGAAGATGTTTCATGCCAAATATCTAAGCTCTAGCTCTTATGGTTCTTTAAAAGAAGATTTTTTAAGTTTTTACTATATGCATATAGGGAAAATCAATGACCCCCCGGGGCGGGGCCAATTTTGACCCCAAGGGCTTTAATTTGAACAAACTTGGTAGACACTCACTAGAAGATGTTTCATGCTTAATATCTTAGCTCTAGCTCTTTGGGTTCTTTAAAAGAAGATTTTTTAAGTTTTTACTATATGCATATAGGGAAAATCAATGACCCCCTGGGGCGGGGCCAATTTTGACCCCAGGGCTTTTATTTGAACAAACTTGGTAGACATTCACTAGAAGATGTTTCATGCTTAATATCTAAGCTCTAGCTCTTACGGTTCTTTAAAAGAAGATTTTTTAAGTTTTTACTATATGCATATAGGGAAATCAATGACCCCCCGGGGCGGGGCCAATTTTGACCCCAGGGCTTTTATTTGAACAAACTTTGTAGACACTCACTAGAAGATGTTTCATGCCAAATATCTTAGCTCTAGCTCTTTGGGTTCTTTAAAAGAAGATTTTTTAAGTTTTTTACTATATGCATATAGGGAAAATCAATGACCCCCTGGGGCGGGGCCAATTTTGACCCCAGGGCTTTTATTTGAACAAACTTGGTAGACACTCACTAGAAGATGTTTCATGCCAAATATCTAAGCTCTAGCTCTTAGGGTTGTTTAAAAGAAGATATTTAAAGATTTTTCTTTCGGTTGCCATGGCAACCACAGTTCTGCATGGAATTAAATTCTTTGAACAATTTTTAAAGGTGACCACCAAAGGAACATTCCTGTGAAGTTTGGATGAAATTGGCTCAGTGGTTTATGAGGAGATGTCATTTAAAGCAAAAGTTTACAGACGGACGGACGACGGACGCCGGACGGACGCCGGACGAAAAGCGATCACAAAAGCTCACCCTGTCACTTTGTGACAGGTGAGCTAAAAATAAACGCAAGTAAAAATCAAGCATTTTTATAAACAAGAACTGTCGGAGGACAGTAACGCTCGACTATTCGAAAATTTGTCACAAGGGTGTTTCATTGAGTATAATAATGCTTACCTATATGAATACATAAAATTGTCCGAAAAGGTACAAACTCTTCAAGTTTCAATACATTCCCTTCAGTAGTTATGGAGATACAAGCTTACATGCAAAAACTTAACCAAGAATTCATGAGTCGAAAAAGGGGCATAATTATGCAAAAAAGCAAATCAGAGTAATGGGACTTGTACCAATTATCTTAGATAATCACAGAGAACAAGTGTGTGAAGTTTCAATCCATTCCCTCTAGTAGTAATGGAGATACCAGCTTACACGCAAAAACTTAACCAAGAATTTCTAAGTCGAAAAAGGGGCATAATTATGTTAAAAAGCAAATCAGAGTTATGGGACTTGTGCCAATCATCTTAGATAATCACAGAGAACAAGTGTGTGAAGTTTCAATCCATTCCCTTCAGTAGTTATGGAGATACCAGCTTACACGCAAAAACTTAACCAAGAATTTCTAAGTCGAAAAAGGGGCACAATTATGTGAAAAAGCAAATCAGAGTTATGGGACTTGTGCCAATAATCTTATATAATCACAGAGAACAAGTGTGTGAAGTTTCAATCAATTCCCTTCAGTAGTTATGGAGATACCAGCTTACATACAAAAACTTAACCAAGAATTTTTAAGTCGAAAAAGGGGCATAATTATGAAAAAAAAGCAAACCAGAGTTATGGGACTTGTGCCAATCATCTTAGATAATCACAGAGAACAAGTGTGTGAAGTTTCAATCCATTCCCTTCAGTAGTTAAGGAGATACCAGCTTACATACAAAAACTTGACCAAGAATTTCTAAGTCGAAAAAGGGGCATAATTATGAAAAAAAGCAAACCAGAGTTATGGGACTTGTGCCAATAATCTTAGATAATCAAAGAGAACAAGTGTGTGAAGTTTCAATCCATTCCCTTCAGTAGTTATGGAGATACCAGCTTACATACAAAAACTTAACCAAGAATTTCTAAGTCGAAAAAGGGGCATAATTATGAAAAAAAGCAAATCAGAGTTATGGGACTTGTGCCAATCATCTTAGATAATCACAGAGAACAAGTGTGTGAAGTTTCAATCCATTCCCTTCAGTAGTTAAGGAGATACCAGCTTACATACAAAAACTTAACCAAGAATTTCTAAGTCGAAAAAGGGGCATAATTATGAAAAAAAGCAAATCAGAGTTATGGGACTTGTGCCAATCATCTTAGATAATCACAGAGAACAAGTGTGTGAAGTTTCAATCCATTCCCTTCAGTAGTTATAGAGATACCAGCTTACATACAAAAACTTAACCACAGGGACGCCGACGCCGACAAATGGGTGACTGCATTAGCTCGATTATTCTGCGAATAGTCGAGCTAAAAACAATAAGAAAAAGCTTCCCATTTTGTTTAGAAGAAAATTATCATTACAATTCCTGACATTGAATCATGTATTATTTAAGTATAGGAATGAATATCAAGTAAAGCTACATGTACTTTTATGTAACATTATGCAAACATATTAAGCTGTGTAATGTGGTTGAATAAAAATTTTTTTATTAAAAAATGAATGATTTAATATATAGTAAGTCTGCTACATGGAATGTGCCTTAAACTTCAGAATCAAAATTTCAAATCATCTTAGAACAATGGACAACCAAGAATACATTTTATATAGGATATGTCTACAAAAAATGATATTAATAATTAAATCAAATAATGCCATATGTTTTCTTGTTTGACAAAAAAATAGTCTTCAAAAAAATGTCAACAATAAAATAATTATTATAATAATTAAATATTATAATTAAGGACTTTAAAATATTAAGGAAGTGGTAAAACTTTGAGGCAATTTAGATAACTAGAAAAAACGATCAAGTACATAATAAAGAAACTAGAATGAGGATATAGGTCAACACTGCAACAAAGTTCATTAACAAACAGTTGCAGTTTTCCTACATTATCTTTGCAAGATTTCTATTCAAAGGAGCAGAAAGTCTACAAGTACATGTACATCAATTCTATCATTTAAAATGAACAGAAATACTACAGTAAAGTGTACATTCAATGTACATTGTAAGCAAATATTGGAATGTCTACATAATCTATAATACTTGAAAAATAAACTAGTTTCAGTTACAGACGAAACTGTGTGATAGACCACCTCTGTATAGAGATCCAGATTAGTACAGGTACACTGTAACACAAGTCAATGATATCATTACCCATATTCACAATTCTCGAGTAAAATTACCTGTTGAAAGTGACCACCTTTCAACAAAGAATATATTTTAGATGACAACTGTATAGTTCTGTTAGATAATGCGTATGCCATTAGATAATGCCTTTTCTGTTTGATAATGCTTTGTTGTTGCGACTATGTGCTGATAGTTTTCACTGCACCCACCACCCCTCCCCCCCCCGCCGACCCCCTACAAAAGTACTGACCCCTCCCCCCTTATGGAGAGTATTGAAACTTACAGCTTCTTAATTCAAAACTTATTGGAAAAAAAATCTTTATACATACTTACAAAAAAAGTAATTATGTATATATTAAAAATGATCTCATGAAAAAAAAAGCATAATCTTTGGATTTTTTCACACATACACACAAGTCATGTTCACAATTGTACATTATGCACTGAATTTATAAACCCTATGCCCGAAAGTTCATTTACAACATTCATTTACAACCAGATGTTCTAAAGACGTAATATATAAGATATTATACATACTAATATATATACAAATAATATAAAATAAATCATATCACAATATCCTTGAATAATATAATATAATATACTATAATATATACTACCGAAGCAAATTTAGAGTCAAACTAAGGACTGAATAACATTAGCAACAAAATAAAAAAAATAATACAAGCTGACGTGTAAAATAAATATACAACATGAAGCTAATATAGCATGCAAAATTATCTATTTAAATCATAAATGTCATAATTCTAAAAAATCATTCAAACTGCAATATGGAATTCTCAATGTGTGTTATTTCTCCCAAATTTATGGATTGTAAATGCTTAGTTTTAATACTAGCATATTATGCTGTTTATGTAGTGAGCAAAAATATACCCCCATTTAAAAATCATTTTAAATTATTATTGTACTATTGCATTGTTAAGGGGACTCGACTGATTTTTTTTTTTTAACATGATGTTACTGGAAATAATTTTTCGGAGATTAATGTTCCTTTTGATGTAGGTCTAGACCAATAACTTGTGTGCAAAATATCAGATCATTTGCCCACTCCGTTGATCAAGAAAAAAATTATTCTCATGGACCCAAAATTGAAAAGCATTGCAATGCATTTCACTCAAAACTGGCAAAACAATAGCTCAAAATATAGGATTTTCAATATATTTCGGGGCATATTTTTTTATCATCTTTTGCATATCTTTCTGTCTTAAGTGTCACAACTTATCTATGTAAGAAATTTAAATTTTGTATTTCAAGGCTTTTGGACCTCAGTGGAGTTCCTTTAAGCTGCAACAAAAAAATATTTATTTTGTAGTAAATTAATATTGTAGATATTTATTTTGGATAACAAAAAAATCATCTTTTATTTAAAGGGACTACACTGAGTTTTATATTATATGACGGGACCAGAAATATTTCTAGAGAATTTTTTTACCATTTGATACAGGTCTTTACCAATAATTGGTGTGTAAAATTTCAGATCATTTCCTTACTCTGTTTTTCCAGATTCAAAAATTTGTGCAAAAAAAAAAGCCTAAAAACAAAAATTAAAGCATTTTAAAGCTTTTAACTAAAATCAAAATTTAAAGCAATCAAATGGTGACTTTTTCAACAAGCTTATAAGCTTACATAGAAATTAATTAAATGTTGATTTTTTTTGGTCAATTATGTTCTGTACAAATGAAACAGAATTATACAAAATTATCTACCTTTGGTCATTTCTATTGAAATTTTTGTAGAAATATGTTACATATACAGTAAAAAAGTTTGTAGAAATAATGTCTGGAATAAAAATAAAAGCAAAAATAATGATAATTCAGATCCAGTTTTCCCTAAAATAAACATACTTTATACATTAGTATTACAATAAGACTGCCGGCATGGCAAAACGACCCTTTCCCTCATTTGAAAATGTCCTCAAAAGACGTTTATCTTGTGGACATTAAAAATCAAAATCTGTATTACCTTACTGGTCTTGATGATAATTATCAATAACTATGGATAAGCAGATGTCAATAGTTTTTTATCATCATTTCAAGAGCTTTTACATATTTGAATATCTTAAGAAATTAAATATGCCAATTAAAATGAATTAAAATAGGAATCAATGAATAGGGTTATTTTCTCGTGCCGCCAGTCAATTTTATGAACACATAGCACAAAAAAAAATGCAAAGCACAGCTTTCTTATCACCTGGTTGCTATATACTATCAGCATAAATCAAATACTTTGAGCACAATAGTAAATATAAGCCTATTTTTATCAATATATAACATACATAATAATTATTATTATTTTTGTGTAATGATATATTCCTATTAAAAGGTAATCTATGCCATACAGCCATTCTTAAAGGCACAATATGTCTCAAAAATCCACATTTCTAAAAATGATAGCATTTCTGAGGCATAATTGGCCTTTCAGCTAAGTTCTATACATAAATACCAACCATTTTCAACTTGATTCGGGCTCAAAACAAAAATTACCAAATCAATACAACTAAACACCATTTATCCATACTTAGTCTTGTGTTCTATATAATACTTTCTTTTCTTTACAACCAATTAAAAATTCTTCAATTACTTTTCTGCTTAAAGATTGTTTATCAATAAGAAAAAAACAACAAAACCTTAAGGCATTTCGATTTCTAAGTTCTAAAGAATTCCTTAAAAATGACTGTTCAGTACAATATTTATTTTCTTACACATAACAATCAAGTCACAATCGTTTTAATCTATTTTTAGAAATTTAGTCTGACTACAAAAGTAACTAAAACGCTAAAACAATTTTATTGTGTAATATTTACTATTAACTAAGTCCCCTATTGTGACGTCCCTAAAATATAGTGCATCAATAGCGTTATAAAAAAATTTCATATGGCGAGCCGGAATCAATAAATTGGCTTTTTCCAGAGAATAATCTTGGTCAACAAAAACTCGAAAAACAACACAAAACATGCACCATGAATACATATGGCATAGTTAACTGAACACATCTATAAATAACTGTGTAATCATTAAATATATTTGCGTCAATAAATAATCAAATATCAAAATAACAAGAATACAATGTGTAACACAAACCTTATAAAATCAACAAAAACAACGGCTATCTATCACTGTAAAACATGAATTAATTTTAATACTTTTACATATCACCACATGAGTTTTTTTTTATCTGTTACTGAAATGTGACTAACATCAAAGTTTGAAGAAGAAAAAAAACTTGAAAAAAAGTACATAAACCATTTTTGCTGAATCAGCAAAACATAATAATATTACATAAATGAACAATTTCTTTGGTTGTGAAACATTTCAGTCAGCTCATTATACAAAGTCTTTAATAAATTTTTTTAAGCTACATTCTTGGCTGTATGCTACACAAGGCAGAATTCGAGATTTAACCATTACCATGCTTAATATCTCAAAAATACATGTCCAATTTACCAATCTGTACAAAACCGTTCATTAATTTTTTGGGAAATATCAGAACAAGCACTGACTTATAGCGAATGGTGCCGACCATGATCAGACAGCACAGAACTGTACATGTACTGGATGACCTTCATCTGCACTGGCCGTATGCGTAGAACCAGTTGCTGCCAGCAGGCTATTGATTAAATACTTATTTTTGAGCTGAAGACAATGTAGTGCCTAGTCAATCAGTACAGTAATTATTGTACAGACTGCCAAGGCTTCATACTGATGGCTTAGGCTTCATACCGCCATTTGCACTTCAAGTGTTAAACAACTTCTATGTAATACTAATAGTACAACATCTTTTGATAATAATAATATATAATTATATACCATTGGTCTTCCTATTCCCTTGGATGGGCATAATGTCACTTTAACATAATTATATATAGAATATCTACCCCAATGATACAAAAGAATATTTGCATTTTCCTCTTTAAAACAACATATAACTTAACAATGATTCGTAAAAGGCATTCAAAACTATTCGCAAATTTAGGCCGTAAATGAAAAACAAGGCGAGGTTATACTTGATGACCCAGAGACCAATGAAAAGTGAGTGCTAGATATATTTATATTTGTATGTAAATGAGGAAATGGACGAGATTTTTAGAAGTTTGAAAAAACTTCAAGTTTACAGTCAAACTTTCAATAATATAAATTATTTAGATATTTTTAATCATTTCTGACTTTTCTTTTACATCATTAATTTCTTTCTTAGAAATGAAATAATATTGAGAAAAAAATGGATAAATTGTATCATAACAGACATGTTCTAATAAATCTTATAGTCTTGTCAGATTTAACACATTCCCAAACAAAAGATCCATTTTATTATTTCTATAGCGGTACATACTTTCAGAATGTGCTGGCAATTCAAGTAATTTCATCCTATTTTAAGTTGTACACATAGTACATCTTACGCATGTGTCCAAACAGTATCCACCAGTTTTAACTGAACTAAGAGTAAAGACCCTTGTGCAAAGACTTAAGACTGACACTATTTATTCATTTTGAAACACAGTCAAAAATGCAGGATTTCTATTGGTCAATTTTTACAAATTACCATCTTAATTCAACCAATCAATGAAATGTATTACTGAATATGGCTGATGTCTATATTTATTCTTTGGTAATATTCTATTCTCTGTTTCAAAACATAAAAACTTGCCTATTTTTCTTTTTAAATCATTGCCTTCAGATTATGCCAAATAGGTGAACGAAAAATGAAAATGGTAATTAATATCACCACATTTCTCCCACTACACAAGAGCTTCAACTACTTGGCTTGGCACATACACAAATATACATCAATATATTAATAAAGCAGAGCAATTGGTGCTTTATGGCGAGAACTGTGACTCATATAATGTAACTGGTTATTAAAATGAACTCTAGAAAGCAGTGAGTCTAAAAGCACATTTTTAATTGGTCAATTTCAAATTTGAATCGACCAATCATATGCCCCAGTTTGAAAATGGTCTTCAGATTCAAATTTCATTACCTGTAACCATAATGGCAATTTAAAGTATGTAATCTTAGTGATTTTTTTTTTCCTTTTTTTTTTTACAGTCATGTTTCGAAACAAGTTCTGTTTCTTTTTTTGCAAGGCCTCTATTGTAACAACACTGCACCAAGCTGTGATGAACATTTAGCATTATATCAAGATAGCTTGTCACATTGTTTTGTAGGATACTGCGAGCTCAAGCATGTATGTAGAAATACAAATTTGTGTAATAACTGGCTCAATTGATAAGGCTTCACAATGAGGCATTGTGATATAAGTCCACATCATTATATAATGGGTGTCAGGATGTTTTAAGCATTGTAAATCCATAAAATTTATACATGGATACCAGATATTGAGGCATTGTATGTCCACACTATTTTAAACATGGGTGCCAGATGTACTCAGTTGACCCACAGCTTGTATCAGAGCTCTGTTTTCTATCTGCAGTTTTTCCATGTCCTCATTACAGTCCACTAAATCCTGAAAGTAACCAATCAGATCATTTAATAAAGCAACCAATCAGATCATTTAGTTTATCTGTTTCAATGACAGGAACAGTGATCTAAAATAGATTTATCAAATTCATTAGTGTGATATAAAAATTTGTTTTGGGAACCTGTCTGAAAATACAACTCGTCCAATTTCAAATCCTGAACCAAAATCAACCAATCACATGATATAGCCAGAGACAGTTACTTCAAGATAAAAATTTGAATAATTAGAGCATGGAAAAAGGAGAAAATTAAGAATAGAATTAAGAATAATACGAAAGCTATCAAAAGTCATAATAACATTTATCAAAAAGTTCCTCAGTATGGTATATTTTAGTGCAAGTGAATTCAAAAATGTGTATAGGAAAACATCAATTTCATTTTTTTGTTGGATTTTAAGTCAAACCAACATTGTAATGGTCATATGACGACTAACTTAACTGGTGGAGGAAGACCTCAAGTCAGTTAGGTGCCACTCTGTGCATTATTTCAGACACAAGCGGGCACCAGAGAAATTATTTAGAAAGAATTTGGTTTCAAAACCAATCAGTGCCAACATCAAGTACAATAAATTCAAGGCTGACATTCAATGAGTACACAGTTATTCGATTTTCCTTCAAAAAACATTGAGGTCAAATCTTAACCTTTTCCCCCATGAGCATATTGCGAAAAATGGCCATTTTCACTGAAAAGCCTCCTGTAACAAGTTCAAACTGCTATGAAAGTATGAAAAATGCTTCAATACTAATGAAACTTGGCACAAATGTTGACCACACCATAGCCTCTGTAACAGCATGCTCAATGGTAAATTTCCTGTTACCATGGCAACAGGGGGACGTCTCAAAATTGCCAAAAATCACTATTTTGCATTGTTTTTTCCCATCAAAACTGATTTCAAAGTGCTGCAACTTCTCAATGAATTGAGATAGAGTAAAAGGCTTTTCAGTGTCGGTTACTAGCTACCCTAGGTTCGACCTCAGGCCATTTTTAGCCTGTCACATGTCCAAAAATTTATTTGGATGGGGGACGGCGCCGAAAAAGTGTTCACTTTTTTGAACAACATTTCTCAAACGAAAAACAGTGTTTGGGGCCTAAATAGGGCATTTTTTCACTGTCTGAGGCCTCAAAAAGGGGGGGGACAAAAAGCCGTCGAAACACGCTTATATAAGGGTAAAGGTTAAGTACAATTATGTTTATAAATAAAGACAACAACGAATGTGAACAAAAACCATGATTTACAAAGAATAAATATCCTCCATTCATCATCAAATACACAAACTATACTATAAGGTCATGCCCTTGTTTATACACTTTTGACCTTATCAATAAATTTTTGACCTTTGAGGCTATAGTAACACATATTTATATGTTTCAAGTATCGTCATAATCACCCGAATGTTATCAAACAATCCGAAATTCAATGCCTTCTATTTCACAGATGGCCCAAACACAGGTTTTCATTTGAAAATTATATATGACTTTTATATGAAATAGACTGTGCCAATTTGTTTTCTATCTTTGTCTAAACTGCGGAAATGATACACTGAAACAAAATTTCTTGTTGGCAAATAATAAAATTACGTAATCACGTTATATGAGAGAATATGTATGCCAGCATGCATGAGGTCCTGGGTTTGTTTTATTCTTTTATTGAACTACTATTTAAAGCCTTAAACTGCTGGATTTCTTAAATGAACTTGTCCAGATGCCATTTTATGAACTATCCATTATCAATTTTGGAGAGATCATAATGAAAAGTTGGTCAGCCAATAGAATATGTTGTTCTTGCTGTGGGCAGGGGTACAGGAACTGTTTATCACAACCATATTCAAATCCAGGTCATTTAAGTATATAATTATGTAAGTACTGATATAAAAACTAGAAATGTGTCCATAGGACATGGGTGCCCCCACACTCCACTGTTCTGTCAATCTTAAAACTCTAGGTCAAATATTTTTTGGACTACATGTGCCACAAGTTGAAAACTAAAAATCTTTTAAGTTTTACTAAGTAAAAGGCAAAACTGAAAAAAATCCACATGCAAAGTCCCAGGTGCATAGCTTCACAGTGATGTTGATCATTATTCCTGTAAAGTTGGTTGACTCTAACTCAAGCACTCAAGGAACAAATAACACTACATAATGAAACGGTTTTTACTAAGTCAAGGGCAATAACTCTAAAAATACTAAATAAATTCACACGAATGCGTAACTACACATGCTGTAGTTCCTGTAAAGTTTCATGACTCTATGTCAAATCCTTTTTGAGATACATGCGGCACAAGTTGAAAATTGCAAAATTTTACTAAGTCAAGGGCAATAACTCTAAAAATACTAAATAAATTCACAGGAAAATACCCAGGTGCACAGCTACACATGCTGATCAACATTCCTGTAAATTTCTATGACTCTAGGTCAATTGCTTTTTCAGTTACGTGCGACACAAGTTGAAAATTACAAATTTTTAGTAAGTCAAGGGCAATAACTCTAAAAATACTGAATAAATCCACACAGAAATATCCAGGTGCAAAACTGCACATGCTGATCAACATTCCTATTAAGTTTCTTGACCTTAGGTCAAATACTTTTTGAGTTACGTGCAACACAAAAGAGAACGGACGGACGGAGGGATGGATCGATGGATGGACAAACAGACAAGGGTAAATCTAAATGCCCCTCCGCCCCCTGCTAAAGTGGGAGCACAAAAAGCTGATACAGTGAAAGGAAGGAAACAATGTACCCAGTCCCTCTTGAACAAAATAAAGATTTACTGATGATTACATTTGACACATGTACCTTTTTCTTCATGCAGTCCAAGATGGAAATTAATGAAGCTTGAAAAATGAAAAGAATATTGGCATAGCCTAGTGAAGAAACTCACATAAAATAGTGTCAGGAAAGTTTAGTTTGTTTGTTTTGTTGCATTTTCAACCATATTGACACTTAGTCAAGAGAGAATTTCCAGCTTTACTGGTAGAGGTAGACCTCAGGTGCACATTGACATAGTATTTCAGGCCTGAGCGGGCACCAAAGTAGAACCACCAATTTTTATATGCTAATAGACAGTTTGATTCCTCATATGAAAGAATCCAAAATCCTATCAGGATTTGAAGAAGAAATAAAAGATAGATGCAACAAACAAAATGGTTTCATTATCAAAACATAAAGCTGCATGCCTCCAGATGAGCTAATATATTTTGAGAAAATTAAACTTGTACTTAGATTTTAAGATTAAAAGGCAAGTAATAATTAACATGTTATGTGTGATTAAGGACTGATTTTGCAGTATTATTACCATATTTCTACTGCAAGAAATTATTTTTGCTTATTTTTACCTCTTTTTGGTAATTAACATGGATTGTAAATTATTTTCTTTGTTCACCTTTTAAATTCATTTCTAAAATTTTCATGAAAATTAGCATGAATCTGGAGGCATGCTGCTCTTAATTGGTTTCATTATTAGAGTTTAAGTCAATCACTTCAGTCCAATGCCCAACATCCAGATACAAAAATTAATGTAGATCTTAATACTCAACAGTTACTGTAAGTACGAAATCACCACAAAGTAGTGTTACTTATGCAGATTTGAACACAAATTCTGAAAACTTGATACTATCTCTACAGAACTAAACAAAAAGACTTAATATTATAATTTATAGTGGAGCACTTAAAAGTTTAAGTGTATTAAACAGAACATATACACACCAAAATGTTCCAATCTGAACTATTTTAAATATAAAATTATTGCAGGAGTCAATTACAATAAAAGACACGGCTATGCTTCAGACCATATCAAGTGATATATTATAAAACTGACCATAAAATTCTTGATATAATAATATATTTTAGTGTTACTTTTCCTAACTTCAGTTTCAATACATACCCTATTTAACATGGCAACTTGGCGTTCAAGATCAGCAATTTTTTTGTCCTTCTCCTCTAAAACTTTCTGTAATCTCTGATTTTCATCCCGTTCTCTCTCCAAGTCCTAGAATTAAGTTACATTTTAAATTGAAATACTATCCCAGTAACCACAAAGTCAAACAATGTATTATTTCATGTGAGTTTTCTCATATGTATTCTAATATATATGACACCAGTACTGGTTCAGGTTGGTTTCAGGATGTGGACTCGAAAGTGATTATTATAAGTTGCAAGAACTTGTTTAGCAATAAACCTTAAATCTATATAAATCCATTACAATTGCCACCATCTAAAAGACTATACAATACTACTCTTTTCCTACTTTGCAAAGAAATGATACTAAAATTCAAATTTAAAGCTCATAAGTTAGTTTTAAAATCATATTTCAGTAACACTGTAAACATCTTATAGTGACTTTCCAGCTTTTTATTGTTGGAGGAAGACCTCAGATGCCCTTTTGTGAATTACCTGATAATAAGCTAATCAAATCCATAGCGATGCTGGGCACATCATTTAAGTTACAAGTTTAATGCCATAAAGGAAAGGAAAAGTTCTATTCTTGAGTTGCTTTTTGTTTGCTTTTACGGCACACCAACACAATTTGGGTCATAAGGTTCCAAAATAGGAAGGATGACTTTGGCTGACCACAGGTGCTGCCAAATTAAAGCAACACACGGGGTCAAAACTACCTCACCTGCTGGAGCTAAGAGATGCATAGACTCCAGTAATTCAAACCGATTTAGTCGCCTCTTATGATCATGCAGGGTAAAATAGAGGCTGCAATTCTGATGCCTCAACCAGATAGGAAACTCCTCTGCCACAAGGGGCTTCTTCAGCTGCAACTGAATACCAAAGCCTAGCAATATTTATAAGGATTCAAGGATTTAAAAAAAAATACTTCTTGAAAATAACAAATAAAACTACACATAATACTAATGTATCTAAATGGACCAAGTTTTAAACTAAATCTAAAATTTACCTTTTCTAGTTTTCTCCTGCTTGCTTCATCATCTCTACTTTCTTTGTTTATCTTTGACGAAGCAAACTGTTGCCCAACAGGGCCACGTACACCTCCAAACTCACGATCTCGAAATCGTGACTTGTACCCTCCTGAAGGCTCTTCCTGCTTATCCTGGGCCTGGTACCGAGCTAAAACACTAGAAACTGGCCTTACTGGTTCCCGCGTTTGGTTTACATTTTGATTTACAGATCTTGGTGATTTCGGGGACCGTGGTGATTTTGGGGATCGCGGCGATCGAGGCTCGTGACTAGAATATGACACTGGTTGTCTATCGTAATCAAAACGGCCTTGAGAATGAACATTATTATGGAATGTATGTGAGGCATGATCTCTTTGAGACACATTTGGTTTGAAAGACTGCACTGATTCTGAGCTCAATTTTGATTGGCTAGTCCATGAGGATTTTCTTGTTTCATTGCCTCTATTCCTTGTCCCTGATTGGTCGGTTAGAACAAAGTTGGATTCGGATTGGCTAACAGCACTATCATAGTCCTGGTTGTCCTCCAAGTCTGCTTCAAGGTCAGATGGACTAAAAATACAAATCATAAAAAGGATTGCTTTAAAAGGAAAAACATATTTGATGTACATTGTAATTAAATTTCGAAAATAATTTGTTCGTCCAGTGTTCTTATATCATGGACTAAACCTTTATGGTGAAACATGCAGCTGGTCAAATCAGTTAGTGTCACTACAGTAGTAATCAGATTTAAATCTCTGATGTTAAAATCTCAGATGGCCTCAAATTAATCTCATCTTGTGTCACATTTTTTTCTCTCTTAAAACTTAATGACTTCAATACATGTAATTATCATAGAAGAAGAAATGCAATCCTTCATGATCAATTTGATTTTTTTTTTCTAAAATGCATACTGTTACTCCTGAACTTTATTTTCACTTTTTTTTTAAGGTGGCACCAACATAGTTTAGGTCATAATATTATGACAACTTTTCTAGCTTAACTGGTTAAAGAAAACCACAGGTGTATTTTCATTCATTATTTCAGGCTTGAATGGACACACAAAAATATAACCATCAATGTTCATTAAGCTAGCTGGATAGCTTCCTCAATAAAAGAATCTAAAGTCCCTGTCAGAATTCAAACCCACAATTCTGAGGGGTAAGTGATTTATTTTTACTGACTGCAGCTACACATAGATATTTTATCAATGACTGTAAACTTTATAAGGACACTAAAAATTTACTCATGAATGGCAAAGAATTTCAATAAGACATTTGAACTGGATCGTAGAACTAGAAAACTGCAAAGAATAAACTAACAAGCTATAGATTTATTTCTATAAAACCCAAATAGGGCAACACATATACATACCTCTTGTTCCTCCTAGACACAAATCCCCTTGGTCCCTGTAAAAAAATATCAAGATATTTAAACATCTTTCTAAATCAAATTAAAATTATTTTTACTACATCAAATGTTACAAAAAGTTACATTACTTGAAATGACATATCACCACAAAGTCCTATAAATATGATGCGGCTTTGAGATATTTTTGCTTCTGGGCAAAGCAACATCGGGCTTGACCGACATAAACTATAACAAGTCCGTAACATCTGAATTATTGGACTAATCATCCAACACCAAAGTTTATTTTCTTTGCATCCTAGTATTTAAAATGTTGACAGTTGTACAACAAAAATATTTCTTTTTTTAATGCTCTCCCTATTAAGCTAAGGGGGTAGACAAAAATCAACTAAAAATTTGTAAAAAAATATTTTTGTTTTGTTTTTAAAAAATGCCAAGCATCAATGATTTCTGAGACAATGTCCCAGTTCATGACATAAATCAAGATAAATCTTTATTAGCAAGAGCATGAACTGTACTTATTAGCAATGATTAGCAAGAGCATGAACTGTACTTATTAGCAATGATTAGAAATGTAAGATTTTAAAAGTATAATTATAAATATATTAATTTTCAGATAAGTTCTATACTACATGCAGATGCTACTGAGTCAAATGATCAGTGCAAATAAAACAATTACATGCAAATTATAGGATGCTAAAAGGGTTTACATTCAACTTTGTTATCAGACTGTATTATAACAATATGAAATTTTGACACTTTAAAACAACTGTAATCTTTCCAGTTTTGCCTATTGTTTTCCGGGAACACACATCAAAAAATTGTGTCTCAATTCATGTACATTTATAAAATGAATAAAATGATGCATAAATTTGATAAATTCTATAAATAAATCCTGTTTTTGTTGAATAAAATTCACAATGAAAGGTTTGTGTTGTTCAAACTGTTACATTTTGACAGCGATTCCAATCATTAGTGACAACCTACTATTACAGATTCACATTATAGTGACCACTTGCATGGGTCTCCAAATTAAGACCCACCTCAATACTAAGACCACTTCTACAGGGGCCCAAAAGTGGTCTTTATAGCAAGACTTTACTTTACCATTGTAGAGGCTTACAAATAAAGGGTTGACCGCAAAACTGTTTTAACTCCTTTTTTATTTCATGTATGGATTTTACAGTCAACCCCCAAAATGGTAAAAGTCTCTAAAGTTCTAGAAATATTTCTCCATGAACACCTCCGATAAAATGTTCTGAGCTTAAGATCAGTATCCCCCTTTCCCCTCAGATACTGTTCTAGAAACATTTCAGCGTGAAGATCTTACCATAAGTTTTGCTGTAGTTTTTGTATCATGACTAGAACTACTACCAGTGGATATATTCATGGTCTGAAACTGTTGTATTCTACGCATTACCTACATCATACGAAAATAAAAACTTTACAACATCTATATATAACAACTAAAAATATAATATTACCATCCTTATTCTATTAAACCACCCCTAACTTAATTCTCCACCTCAAAAAGCCCCCATCTTCCACCTCAAAAATCCTCCCATCAACACATCAAAAATCCCATGACTCATACCTTAAAAATCCTCCCAATAACACTTAAAAAATCCCCCAACTTCCATGTCAAAAATACTCCCATCAACACTTTAAAAATCCCTCAATTCTCATCTCAAAAATCATCCTAACTACACCTAAAAAATCCCCCAACTTCCGAATAAAAAATCCTCCCAATTAACACCTGAAATAAAACCAAATCCCAACTCATAAATCCTCCCATCAACACCTAAAAAAATCCCTCAAACTCCAAACTCAGCAATCCCCAAACTCCCACCTAAAAAAATCTTCTCCTACACACCTTAAATATCCCCTTACCCAAACAAATTTTTTTTTTCACAGCTTATTCTAATCAAAATTTTTGATTATGAAAAACTAAAAATGAGCATCAGATTGATTTTACACTTTTTTCACATTGCATGACTGTTATGCACTTTCTGATGAGCCCTTAAAGCCCCATGGAAAAAAGTTATCGTCTGACCCACTCTACATTTGCAAACAAAAGGCAAATATACAGAGTAATTCTGACAAGTGAGTATAGTAATTATGGAATTTCATGTGAAAACCTGTAGTCCCCTAAGCCTGCTGGCTGCAACAGACTCTACCTATGCAAACCAGTTCAGACCAACATCAGCAAGCACATCTGTGCTGTTTAATCATGGTCTGCACTGTTCACCATTCAGACAGTACTTACTTTGAAATTTCCCCAAAAATCAATGAATTGTTTGGTCCAGATTGAAAGATGGACAAGTCCATTAAGATATTAAGGTTAGTTAAAGTTAAATTCAATCATAAATGTGTTTCTTCATGCATTTGTAAACCACATAAAATGATTTATTCTAAATTTTATGATGTCTTTTTATTACACAAATGTACCTGAAACTTATGAAAAATTTGTATGACTCACCAAATGCAAATATTTTAATTTCATGCACAATTAGATGATAAATAGAGTTATGCATGCATTCACATTAAAGTGTTGACACACCTGATAATATTTATAATGATGTAAATTCTTGATGATTTAAATGTATTGCAAGTCTGAAAAATCTACTTTTTCATTTTGATTTGAAAATACAGTTTAACCTGCATAAAGTATCCTATATAAATCAGTATGTCATATAGCCCTTATTTTATGTAATGGGCTTGTCTTTCTTTAAAGTTGGAAGGGTCCATTTGTAATCACAGGGAAATTATTATAAAAATGCTAAAACTACAAAATCTGGTAAGACTAAAAGTGCAGATTGACTTGAATGATACTGGTTGGTCTCTTATCCTTGCTACTAACACTAAATAGGTTTAACACTAAACTTATCATACTAAATATCTTAAATGGACTTGTCCACTGTCCAATCTGAACAATTTTAGATTTACATGTATTTCTTTAATTTTTAGTGAAATTTTCAAAATAAGTACTGATCTACCCCAATAAAAGTTCTAGTGTAAGACTAATACATGTCAACACCTGGCCAGGTTTAACATATTCTATTTATGTCTACTAGTTTTGGTTAATTATCGACCTTCATCAGAACCAAAATAAGTACTTATCAAATTGCGAACACTGCAGACCATGATTAGATGGCATAGAATCATGTGAACAGATTCAGTTTGCCACCACCAGACTAAGAGTTAATATGATATAAAATTAGTACTGAATTTACCATTTTTCTTCTATTAAACCTTGATCAATATTAAATGTAATTCTTAACCTCTCATTAGAGACCACCTGTCAATAAAGAATGGCTTGTTTTCATACAGATTTACAATACACTGTATTCCTAAATGATTGTCATTACAACAATCATTTAATATTTATAAAAGTAAAGTTTTTCTCTTCATGAAGTGCTGCTTGTGTATTAATAATAAAGAGAAATTAAAACCAATTCCCCTTAAATGGCATTGTCATAGAATAAGAATGGCAATATAAAAAGAAAGCGACTAAAAAGAACTAAAAACAAATAAAAAACAAAAGTATAAAAAAAATTCAAGTCTACAAGGAAAAGGAAATAAAAGCTAATGACTGTGCAAATAATAAATAAAATTGAGTTGTGTGAAAAACAACAACAAATATTATATTGTAACTGATTCATCTATGCAATTTTCTTCCCTTTGAAGATTTCTTCCTTTTGAAGTTTTGAGCGACATAAAACGTTTTCCTCATGGAATTTGATAGCTTTTTTTTTTCTAGTGATGCCTCGACAAAAATTTAATTCTGGTAATTAGTAAGGTCAACAATGCCTATAAAAAGCTATTGCTTTGAAACACTTTAACAGATTTTAACCCCCTCCACATGATGTGGTATAGTATACATGTAGCTAAGAATAATACATGTGTCTAAAACTTCAAAGATAGTGTCTTCATTTCAAATTTACTCATGTCTTTATGTTTTGTTGTTCTTTTTTTTTGTTTTTCATAAAATTTTAAACAATGTTGTTTTTTTTCTTATTTATTTAGACAAATGTCTCATAGTAATTTCAGTATACTGGTTTTAAGAGGACAAAAATGTGCATCATATTTAAGCCAAAGGATATAACATTATCTCACAAAAGTAAGCTAGGTCTCTATATCTACAACTATATAAATAAAACAATCATAACTATACACCGTGTACCTCTGAAGGTGTTTGTGGATTGTCAGCATCTATCACCTCATTATACGATGTATTCCGTTTTGCCTCACTCAGCTTCTCCTCTTCATGATCATCATCATCTAATGAGTCTCCTGTACTCTGGAATAAAAACAAAAAAAAACAGTCACAAATAGCTCAGGGCTTCCATTAAGTTTCAAAATTTGAAAGTCAGAGACTGCAAAATCTCTGACATTAGAAGTCACATTATATAGGTAAAGAAGGAAAAGCATTAAATTTTTGAAGTCACAAGCCAAAATGAAAGAGTAAATGACTCCCAAACTTCCACTGAATTTCACAGAAGCCTTGAATAAGCTCACACTTATCAAAATACATTCATGAGGGGAAAAGAATGTGCTTTAGTTGTTTTTGTTATTTTTAGACATGACAGATCTGAGGTATTTTATTGTACTGTTATGTCATTTCAATATGAATGATAACTATCTTACAGTAAAGTAAAACAGTCAGGCACACTAAGTAACAGGCTTAAAAAAAATATATGAAATACAGTAATAATTCCTCAATATTTTAAAAGCAGAAAAACTTTTAGCTTAAGTTGTAGAGGAAAATGACAATGTTCAATAAGTCTGATAACCTAATCATATGCTTATTTCCATTCAACAGTTACAATAATCTTAATCAATAAATGAATAATAATAATAATACAAATATCCAACAAAAAATATTGACCAGTCAATTAGAACCTCAGACCCTGGAACTGACTTGTTTCAATTTTGCGAGACTCAGTACTCTCTGATATTAAAATCCACATTGATCTGCCTTTTTTGGGGGGTAGTTGGGTTTTACGTTGCAACAACACAAAGAGGTCATTTGGAAACTTTCCAACTTTACTAGTAGTGAAGGAAGACCTCAGCTGCCTTTCCATGCATTATTTCAAGAATGAACTGGCACATGAGTAGAACCAGTGATGTTCCGTAAAGCTTCCTCACATGAAAAAATTCCAAGTCCTTGGCAGGATTCAAACCTACAGCAGTGAGGAGCAAGTCAGTTTAAAGTCAACAGCCTTAACCCCCATGCCACAGATGCCCCAATTGAGCTTGCCATACAGGAACACAGATAGACAGATAGATGGTAACTGAACAACTTGGCTCATTATTCTTGTTATACCCTAACTGGCCTCTGAAGCATAGAGGTGGAGGGAAAATAGATGGGACAACTAGTACATTATTAGCAAATAATCACATAAATAGAACACATAATTACATAAGTATAGTTTACCTCTGTAGATGCAAGGTGAACTACCCCAGTACTTCTACGCTTTTCTCTCAATTTTCTTTTATCTTTCGGTAGTTTCCCTTTTTGGAGATGGTTTGGCCTTGACCTTTTGTCCTTTGCTCTTTGAATAGCTGACCTCGTAGGAGACTCGTGAATTCCTTCTCCAGCTAGAACACTACTTTGTGCTAAAAATTAAAATGATAAACTGGATAGCTAAAAAAACTAATTTATAGAAACAAAATATAAATTACAATGATTGTATCCAAAACTGAGCAATATCTTAAAATAACAACTCAACATTTGTGGTAAGAATGAATGAAAAACGTTTGGCTTTCAAATAAAATATGCTTCTTAAGTACTTTGTTGTACAGCTTGCCAGAAGCCACTATAAATCATGTATTGCAATGTTTCTTAAAACTACAAAAAAAAATAGTACGAGTGATCATATAGAACTTTATTCTAGCCTTAAACTCATTGTTAACGAATCAGGGTCATCTCTGCCCTAAAACCTACTCGGCCCCTGAGTCAGCTTGGCCCTATTCCAACTCGGCACAGGTCAACTCGACCCATAATTATATATTACTGGTAATAATTACTTTTATTACTTTTTATATCTTTTCATCATAACTTTAATTGTTTTAAATTCTCACAGTAACAGACCTCTACTCAAGGTTATTGAAAAGTTTTATAGATGAAAGTACCAATTTTTATGTGAATTTGAAGAGATGGGAAGAATTTACGATTTCTATGCAAGTTTTGCCTACTTCAGATGTTTTTTGTACAATGTATCGTTCAAAAAGCATTGGTTGGTAAAGAACAAACAGTTTAAATACAATTACATTTATTGTCATAAAAATTGAATATAAAGATCAATTTTTAACATTTATTGTCTTGATATCCCTCCTTAACAAAGATAATTTCAAATAATACGTACATGTACACTGCCAACTTTTTCAATTTCTGTTTGTTAGTGATCATACATCTGAATACTTTTTAGTTATTTACTCCTTAATTTTTTTATAAACTAAACATTATAAACAATCTATATCCTAATAGGTTTTTAATACAGGGCCGAGTTGACCAGGTCTAGTATATCGCCAGATAAGTGCATTATGCACAAATTGATATATATATATAATACACAAATTGGTGTATTTAATCATACACCGATCTGTGTTTAAATATTTTGATAAATGAGTTTCTGTAAATTATTTGTTGTTTATTTATGATCATGTTTTGGCGCCACACCTGCACATAACATTGGTAATAGTCTGTTTTATTGGCAAAGAATAAACAAAACTTCTGATCTGTACGAACTTTAGGAGATTTTAATGTTTTTATCCACTGAAAAATTGTAACTTTCAGACATAAATTCATTTCCATATTTCATATGTAGTTATTATTCTGATCAGGTTTACTTAGATTAAAAAATTGTCCCTTGCCTGGAAAGTAAAAAAATAACCAGTTCTAATTTTGGGATGCACCAATTAGTGTATCATGGCATGCAGATTTTCAAAAAAGTGCAAGAATTGCCAGTGTTTACATTAATATCTTTAGTTTCAGTGTATTTCTATGAATATTGTCTATAGTAAGTGCAGGTGCCAAAATTCACACTGCTATATTTACAAAATAATGGGTCTTCAAAGGTTTGCATGATAATCTGGTACATGATCAATTGGTGCATCATAAAATACACCAATTAGTGCATCATACACTAGTCAAAATATATTGACATGCCAAAGCTTGATTCTGAGATATTTTCGTTCTGGGGCATAATCTCGCTTTTCTAAGGGGAGATTTTGCCCCGAAAAAAAAATAGCACAATTTTCTTTCCTTTGCCCCATACAATTTTTTGGGCTAATATACCAAAACCGGGGCCCTCATCAACTAATCTGGCGTTAAAAGCAGATGTTTTCCCCGTGCCAATTTGGGTTGGGGGTGAGTTACACTTTACCAAATGTTTTAAACCCGTTTTTAAAACTTTTGATATCAAACTAATAATTTTTGCCCCAACCCGGGGTTCCTGAAGTTTCCCCCATCACCAAATTTATATCACAAAATTTTCCCCCCAAGTTTCAGAGTTCTGTCACCGACAGATAAAGGGGCCCCCCGTGGGTCTTAACGTCCCCTTTTTCGAGTTCTTCTCCCCGTTCAGGGTTTATAATCTCAAAAATATGGGGACTTTCTTTACCTAAATGAGCTTTTAAGCCATTTTTAAATTTTTTATAAAAAAATTTTTCCTTATTTTTTTTCCTAGATCACGATTTTTATTTACATTTTATGCAGCATTGGTTGTGAAAAGGTATAGAATATGATTTTAAATAAAAATACGTTCTCTTTTCACATAATCATTCATAACATTTATGTGTATTCCTTAAATTTGGCCTCGGAAAAAAATCAAACGGGGTCGTGAAAACCGGTGATTGTTGATATTACTGATTCAGCCTCACTTTGAAACTGCATTACGTCATTATATTCATTCAGAAACCGGATTTGAGGCCCGTCACTAGAAGTGGATTTGTGTTTGAAATCAAAATTCAACACTGTGAAGATCTTAACACAGTCTTATTATGTAATTATATGCAAATGTTATATAACATTTTTAAAACATATAATTATTATATCACATATTCTATTACAAAACTGGACTGAATTTACTACTTTTATCGCGGAAGTTCTACTCCGTTACAAACGGAGTACTGTCTGCAGTAAACGTTTTTGTCGGCGGAGTCCTATTTCTATCTATCTTTCTTTTCTATCAACCCAATAGGTGCTAGTATCAAAAACGTGCTGAATATACTTTTTATTATTCTTGCATATCAGACAGGATTATCTACCGTTTACACCGGTGCTAGAAAACTCTGTCTTAATTACACCCCCCATGTAAGACAAGTCGCGTGTTTTAAATGACGTCATTGACGCGAGCCTTTTATGAATGAATCGCGTTCTTAGGATGACCAGGGTCTTTCAAATAGAAAGACCCTGGGATGACGTCATTTTTCCGTTATGAATGAAGTTGTAAGTTCATACGCTACTATAAGAAAAAAATGCGTAATGAGAGTATCAGTTTTCATAATTTCTTTGCCGAAAATAATTGACATGTAATATGCAAGAAAAAGAATCAAACACCGGCTGTTGGTACAGACCGGAATATCTAGCTCTCGGGTAACTGTTTAGCGGAAACTCGGCAGAGCCTCGTTACCGCCGTAAACAGTTACCCTTGAGCTAGATATTTCGGTCTGTACCGGCAGCCGGTGTAAGATTCTTATATTATTAAATACTTTATTTAGCAAAAAAATGTTTTTTAATTTCTTACACAGATTTATATGGTGGCTGTTTAATTTATTAAACTTCGCCCCGCGCCCTCGCTAATTAGCGTGTTTTCGTTGCGCGGCCCCGCCATTTTATTTTTTTTCGCTTGGCGGGGTCGCGGGGCGAAAACACGAATGGCACAAATCAGCCACCATAGATTTATGATGCGCTACACTAAATGTTCATTTGACATTACTTTTTAGTTTTAAGACAAATTTCCTAATTGTCTGTGAAATTTGATGGATATTTTTGTCCGAGATTAACATCAGTTTGAACGAGTGCTTCTTTAAATGTACGGGACTTACCCGTTATTTAGATAACTACATGTAATTAGAATTTGTTCAAACAAAATACGTCTTTTATTGAAAAGACGGTGATAAAACTTATGTCCATCTTATTACAAATTCACTGATTAACAATATTTGTAACAGTTCATCAATAAAACTCTGTGCTATGGTGACCGATTGCGGCCATTTCAAACCCACGAGAAATGTTATCGTTTAATCATAAACTATCGCGGGCAGCTTACAAAACTCGCGAGATTTTCTGCCGAAATCGTACAAAATGTTGCAGGGAGAATATAAGCTTCGATATTTTACAGTTGTTGAAAACAGCAAAGAATATTTTGACTCCAGTTGCCGGTAATGTCCATGGTTGACTTGACATATCCCTCGTTTGTCTTTATTTAAAAAGTGGCGGAACAGAATGAATCCGCGACATTTTTTGCAATTGTTGTAGAAATTCTTCAAAAAGTCGTAAAATATTGCGGCGAGTAATAGCAATTTTCAGCCGCGACTTTCTAAAAGAGACATTTCGTAGCATAAAAGTCGAGGTTTAATGCTCAAACTCGACTTTTGATAGGGTATGCATCAAAACCAAATATTGCGGATTATACCGGCTGCAATCGGCTATCTAAAGTAGGCATATGTTTGTGTGGCTTTGTCTTCTATGTAGACAGAAAATGTCGCGGTTTCCTTCTTTACAACAGAAGTGCGACAATAAAACTACATTGTTTCTATATGCCGCGACATTTTTGACAATTTCGACAGAAAATCTCGCGGATTTAAAAGGAGCCCGCGAAATATTATAAACTGTAAAATCAACGAGGAATGATAAATGTACGCTACCGGCCACCATACTGTACTAAAATCAATGTACAGAAAAGAAAAGAACGGACAATTTACAGTGTATTTCACTTAAGCATTACAAGCTCATCGTCGTTTAACATGAAAAGAAAAAGAACATATATATTTTGGCATGACATGGAAGAAAATACATATAACAAGAAGCGCCGCAATGCGATGAAAACCAGGTTTTCAACGACCAAGTTTTGATGTGACAGCAATCAATAGGTCAAAGTGCACTGAAGTTATTGAGTAGAAGCTGAAAATTCTATTGTAAGCAAATTACCTTGAACTTGCTCCCAGATATCTAAGTGGCAATCCAAAGCTGCCACTCAGCAAGTTTGGTGTCAAAAGGTCAAAGCAAACTCAACTTATAACATGAAAACTAAATACATTAACCTTGATCACAGACACCTAGGTCCAAGCTGCCTCTTGATATAAGCTACCTATTCATCAAGTTTGGTGTCAATAGGCCAAAGCAAACTCAAGTTATTAAGCAGAAACTGAATTTCTATTTTTAGTAACAGTGACCTTGACCTTGATCATAGACACCTGGACAGCAATCCCAAGCTGCCTCTTGATATAAGCTATCCATACACCAACTTTGGTGTCAATAGGCCAAAGCAAACGCAAGTTATTGAGCAGAAATTGAATTTCTATTTTAGTAACAGTAACCTTGACATTGATAACAGACACCTGGGTAGCAATCCCAAGCTGCCTCTTGATATTAGCTATCCATACACTAAGTTAGGTGTCAAAAGGACAAAGCAAACTCAAGTTATTGAGCAGAAACTGAATTTCTATTTTTATTAACAGTGACCTTGACCTTGATCACAGACACCTGGATAGCAATCCCAAGCTGCCTCTTGATATAAGCTATCCATACCAGGAGCGTAGCTAGGGCTTGAAAAATTATACGCAAAGCGAGGCACGAAGTGCCGAGAGGGGGAGCGTGCGGGAGGGGGTCTCCCCCGGAAAATTTTGAAAAATTAGATGTTAAATCGTGGGCTCTGGCATGTCTTGAAGCACCTTTTGCACGTAAAGCATGAAACATTTTCAAGTTATTTTTCCCCATAAATTAATAAACACGTAGCTGCTCGTTTCACTTTTTAACTTATTTCATTATATAACTTCGAACAGATTTGTGAAGAAAAAAGGCAGTGTACGCCTTGTAGCTTTCTTATTTTACACGTGCATATAAACATACACAAAAAAATCCATGTGCAGATCATGAAATTAATACTTCCGATATCCAGGAATCGTGCTCCCAGGGAGTTTCTAGCGGTTCTCGAGGGGAAAGAAGCAGGGGGAGACAAAGAGGAGGTGGTGGACGGAGAAGAAGAAGGGGGAGAAAGGGACGCAACATTGGCGTCTGATTTGCTGATCACAGGAGGGTCACATGCCAGGTCTTGTGAATTCTGTTTTGTTTCTACCTGGCCAGATTCATTATCGACTTGAATAGGGTCCTGTTTTAGGACCATAAACAGGGTCGCTTTTCCTGGAATTTGGCGGATGTTTCTTTTCATTTTGACAACTAACAACACACCAAAAATTAAATTTTGCCCCGAGTTGATGATTTTTAAAATCTTGATCTAAAACTTAAATGGTTTAAAGTCGTTTTGATCTAAAACTTAAAAGGTTTAAAGTCGTTTTAGAATAGAGCTATTTCAAAGGAAACGATTTGGAAAGGATTGGTCTAAATCTTTAAGAAAAGTCTTAATAATCTTTATTTTCTGAGAATTTAACCAACGATAAGTTATTATTATGAGCCTAGTTTGTAGATAAATTAATGCTGAGCTTTTCATTTATCTTTTTGCAATAAGTTTGTAAATGCTTCGAGTTAACAACAAACTTAAATTCCTATTGAACATATATTACGATAATTAATAGAAACGTCATTTGATAGAGTGGGAGTGGCACACTTGTAAACAGAAATGGAGATCTAGATCTATAGCCATAAAATCATAAAAACTTAGATTTTCTCAACTTTACTTTTTTACCTTCGGAATTTTTTTATACACAATACGCGTGCGTAATGGGCGCTACGCCCTTGCATACAGCAAGTTTGGTGTCAATAAGCCAAAGCAAACTCAAGTTATTGAGCGGAAACTGAATTACTATTTTTAGTAACAGTGACCTTGACCTTGATCACAGACACCTGGGTAGCAATCCCAAGCTGCCTCTTAATATAAGCTATTCATACACCAAGTTTGGTGTCAATAGGCCAAAGCAAACTCATGTTATTGAGCGGAAACTGAATTTCTATTTTTAGTAACAGTGACCTTGACCTTGATCACAGACACCTGGGTAGCAATCCCAAGCTGCCTCTTGATATAAGCTACCTACACCAAGTTTGGTGTCAATACGCCAAAGCAAACTAAAATTATTGAGCGGAAACCAAAAGTTGACGCCCGCCCGCCTGCCCGCCCGCCCGCCGACTTCGGCATTACAATAACCCGGTTTTCGTTGAAAACCTGGTTAATAAAGAATAATTATTCCCTTAACACATATATCGTGAGAATGTAATAAAGAAAAAATATATTTATATATACACAAAAGTTACATGGAAAAAATAACAAAAGAGGAATGAATACCGATTAAGAACGACATTTATATAATAAAAAAATAGTGAATCCCTTAATTTGAAAGCTTTGAAACAATACAGAGCCAATTTTTTTTTAAATCTTCTTATTACTGTGTAATTTGCATTAATGATATATACTTAATATTTTTGTGTGGGTATAATAAAACCTGGGTATATAAAATCTTCTTAAATCGACATAAGCTGTACATTTTAAAACAAAATGAAATTCGTCCTCTAGATCGTTTAAATTACAAAGTGTACATTTTCGTTCATCACGCATAATGTATGTACAATATGTATATGATTCACAAGTCTAAAATTGGAGATTCATCGAGAGTGACAATTGCAAAAAAAATAACCATAAAAGGAATAAACATTCAAAAATTGTGTACAGCTGTCGGCATGTCATACCAGGGATAAAGAATTTTTTATTTTGTTTCCCAGGATCAGGTACGTATATTAACATACGTTAATATACGTACCTGCCAGGATATACAAATCTTTCATGTTATATTACAAATACTTATGTGTATAAACGTTTAATTATACAATCTACTATAATGTTTTAATCATTTAATGGATTCATTTCTTTATTTTTGTAATTTATTCCGAAATTTTCATTTAAAAGGATATGTACGTTATGATACATATTACAAAATGTAGAAGCATAGCTTTCGAAGTGAGTAAAAATAATTATATATTACATCAATTGTCGTCTCTTTTATAATAATAATACACCTGTTACTTTAAATGATATACCATATTAAATACAAAGAACAGAAAAACCATCACCTCCTGTTGCTGCATTTTTGCTGCTGGAATATAAGAATAATACAGACTTCTAATACTTCTATAATACATCAGAGTAAGTTTTACCTTGGAAAGGCCTAACTGATTATGTTTATAACAGTTGTATTAATTGCCTACCGGTATTTTTAGTGCCAATGCCAGCGATTTGTATTATTATGTGATATTCACGGGCAGGTAACATATATTGCCGAGATGTCAATATGTTTTTCTAACGGCGAATATGATATGACAGTGAATATGATTTTATAATTTGTTCTGTTGGCTACTGTCTGGACCAATGAGATTGCAGATATATTTAGATCATATAATAATATATAATTATTGATTTGTGAGCCATTGAATATGATGTGATATTCACCGGTAAATGCCATATGTGAATAATACATCATATTTGAAATGGATTATTAGTCAATAATTGTTTTATCATATGGTCAAAAAGATTTTTTTTTTAAAAAAAAGACACACACAAAGTAATGCCTAATATTAATTTTTTGTATCAATTTTCTTATCACTAAGGTGTAACCTTTACCTATTCTTCTACAATAAATAGATTTTTGAATCAAAGAAAAAAACTGCAACAATTCTGTATTGTCATTGAATACGAGTCTGATTCTATTTTAGTTAGGGGACTTTTTAACTTTTTTTATCTCATTGAACTTATTACATTCTTTCTAGCCAAAGCTAACTGTACTGTTTTGCAAGTACATGGAATTTTTTTTTTGTTACACAAAACTTATATTAGATCTAAATCCAATTAAATTACTTTTACTGTACAATTCCACATATTAAATAAGTGCCTTCATTCAATCATAAACTTGTGTAAAACTGTTTAACTTGATCACAGATTATAGTAAACTTAATCACAGACTAGCATGTAAACTACTTGACTTAGCTTGTTCAAAATCTCAGACAACCTCGATCCTTGGCTGTTGTGGACACCGGTTTTAAGATATTATTTGCATTACAGACGAAAAACGCTGGACGGGCCTCAATTTTGTACGGAATTGTGGGACTAAGAGCACGTTCGGAGTGACGAAAATAAAGATTAACTGATATTTATATCGAAAGCGCCAGTAAGTATCGGATTAAAATATTTTGAATAAAGTTGTTCGAGTCGAATATTAGGAAATATATTACGGTTTATTAGACTTAGAATATTAAAATTGAACGCCCGCCATTTTGAACATTCAGTCCGGGCACTGTTCCGAGACAAATAACATTTGCATAGAGCAATTTTGGAGTTTTACTAATGTATTTCTACCTTTTAGCAAGTATTAGGAACATTTTATGTTTAATATTTATGTACCGTTCCGTTTGAACATTTGTAAGCTGATAATAATCAACTATTTTTAAGAAAATAGAAAGTAGGTCAAGATTAAAATACTAGCCAATCAAAATGGTCGTTGTTTCCTTCTGCATTGGTGCTGTCAAAACCCACGTGTATTTGTTTAGATTTTGCATAGTGAAAAAAACATTACTTTTAAAACTCGATTTACATAAAAAATGTTAATGACAGAGGACTTGAAAATATGCTAATCAAATAAGATTGCTCAATCAAACCGAGCCTGCAACATTTTCAATTTTGCTGTGTTGGGCATTCTTGAGCTAAATTTCCTCTACAAGGTTAATTTTGGCACAAAATCACTATAGATTCTGTCTAGTGCAACTTACACAAACACTTTAAAAGTACCCTCAATTTATAAATTCATGTACAAATACACCTGTATATCCATTCATCAATGAAACTTGTAAATCTCCTTCCATTTAAATGTGTGATAAACATGATTCTGTTAATAATACACCCATAAACAATTTCAATATGATCTACGTAAATAACCGAGGTATATCGAGTGAAAAAATACGAGTTGCTTCCCTTATCTTCGAGTAAAATCGATATCGCTTATGCTAAAACAATACAAAATAAGCTGTTTTTAAACCGCTAGTTTGTTGTGATTAAATGTCCGATTTTAAAATGTATTACACCAATAGAAAGCTTAGGATCTTAGCTTCGTCACAGTATAAAATTCAACACATCTTTGGACTTTAAAGTATTTTAATTAACTGTTAAACCTACCATATGTCAGACAGTTTTACACACGATTTATACAGTGAGATACGCAATCCGTTATCTTTACTCGAAATTCTACTGATATGAATAGCCTGTCGTCTGCTAGTTCTGAAAGTGTTTATCGGTGTATTGATGAAAATAGATTAAAGGTAATGCATCATATAAACGGTATTATTTTTACCCAGACCAATTAAGTTGAAATATGGCTGAGATGTCTCAAAGGCTGAGTTAACAAACAAACATCAGCAAAAACTCCTGCCTTGCCTGGGATTCACACTCGAAATCATGAGCTTGCAAACCACTGAGCCAAAGAATCAATTGCTAGACATACAATTGTAGTTGCCATGTAGTTGTTGCATGTACAGTAGTAAGGGTACAATGTAGCGAAAGAGACTAAAGCGCACAGGTTTTATAGTACTGCCAGACCTGTTTACTGTCACACAATGTCAAAATAAAGATATAAAGCCAGAATTATCATAAGGGTAGATGTGCACTGAAACATAAGTCATCATTTATGATGATCAGAAATTATTTCAGTTATGAACTGCAAACCATTTAAATGTATTCTTTATGTATGTTTTAAAATATGTTTTATATATCAGCGTTTTTTTAAAAAAAATTTCCTTTTATAACTTATACTGGTCAGAAAATGCCACTGTTCCCAATTGAAAATAGGCAGGAAATTTCCCAATTCATGACTGGTAATTAAATTCCCAAAATAATACTGAAAATTCTTGTTGTTTGACTAGCAGTGGCTGTGTATTGATTATTTTTTAATTAATAACAATAGATTAAATTCATGCTTTACATTAGATGGTGAGTTAAGTTTATGGACACTGGTGAAGTGATGGAAGGATTACCTGAACTTACAGGATCAGAACACGTGCCTGAAGGACATGAATCAGAAGAGAATGGCAACTTAAGATTGGCTGAACCTCCACCCTTTGTTTTACACCAGCAGCCTATAGAAGGTCTGTATTTTATCTTCTCATACAGTACTTATTCATTGAGCAAGAAACTTTACACTTGTTGCTTATAAATATATTACTCAATTTACTGGTTGG